AGGGGCATGCAATGCAGCTTTTGGGATTTTAGTTCCCTGACCAGGGATCAAACCTGGGCCCTTGCAGTGAAAGTGCAGATTCCTTACCACTGGACCACCAGGGAATTCCCTAGTCTTGTACTTTAGAAATCTTAATTACTCTAGTTGAAGTATGAAGGATGGATTTCAGGGGTAGGGAATGAAGGGAAGGCCACAGGGCAGGGGGTAGGGAGCAGGTACAGGGTGGGTTATTTGGAGGCAAAGAGATTTTGCAGCAATTCTTTAAGGAGATCCTGAGGGCCTGAACCTAGTCAGCAGGAGTCAGGGAAGGAAGAAATAGATTCAAGGGTTTGGGTGAGGGGTATCAAATCACTAGACCTTGACATCCTGGCTTTCTCATGTAGCCCCCTTTGTCCCTAGAGTGCAAGACTCTTGCCAGAGTCTAGCAAAAAAAAGAGTGAGGAGTCCATAATGGAGAGCTCACAGCCATGGCAGGTCAGAGGTCATTTCATCCCCCTGTTATCTTCAGGCTGGAGCACACAGAGCATGAGAAGACCAAGCTCACAGCTGCCTTCACCAGGTTTGACCAAGATGGGAATGGCGTCCTAGATGAGAAGGAGCAGAAAGAGATGCGGCAGAACCTGGAGGGGGAGAGGGTGAGCCCAGATGGCTGGTGGAGAGGCTACAAGGAAACTGCTCATTCTCCTCTTCCTGCAGCACACCCAGAACACAAACCAACTTGGATGGGTGGGAAAGAGCTCTCTAGAATAGTGGTTCTCAAACTGCTGTGCGGTAGAACCCCCTGGAGAGCTTTAAAACATCCTCATGCTCAGGCCACACACTCCAGACCAGAATCTCTGGGGGAGTCAGTGGGGGTCAGCCATCATTTGTTTTCAGTGTGGTTCTGCCAGAATTGGACACTGGCTGATTTTTTAAATTTATTTATTTATTCATGCCTGTACTGGATCTTTGTTGTGGGCTTTCTCTAGTTGTGGTGTGCAGGCTTCTCACTGCAGTGGCCTCTCTTATTGTAGAGCATGGGCTCCAGGACACGTGAGCTTCAGTAGCTGTGGCATGTGGGCTCAATAGTTGCAGCTCCCGGGCTCTAGAGCACAGGCTCAGGAGTTGTGGTGCATGGGTTTAGTTGGTCCATGGCATAGTGGGATCTTCCCCTATCAGGGACTGGATCCACGTCTCCTGCATTGGCAGGTGGATTCTTTACCACTGAACCACCAGGGAAGCCTCATCAGTTTTAAAGCTCCCCAGGTGACTCCAGTGCATAGCCAAGGTTGATCATCATTGCTCTAAAACACAGCCTCAGGGAGAAAAGGACCAAGTGCCAAGGAATCTCTGACAATTCCTTCAGAGCACTTGCCTTCTCCTTGGAGTTCTCAAACTCTTAGCTGCCCCTCCTATGCCTCTTCATCCCTAGCCTGCATAGACCAAAAAGCCAAGGGCTAAAGGAGCAATGCCAGGACACTGTCTCTCCTCTTCCTCAACAGAGTTGGCTTCTAGTGAGTGCCTCATTCATCAGTGGTTCAAGGAGCTTGCGTTTTGTTTCTTGGGGAGGTGATTCTCTCCCAGAGGTCAGGCCAGCTTTGTGTCCAGCACCACCACTCTGATTCTGTTGTCTCTAGAGTTTGAGGGGAGAAGGAAATAGCAATAATGATAGCCCAAGGCCTGGTCCTGAAAGCCCATTAGAGCAAGTGATGGAGCAGGAGCTGATGACTTCCCAAGTCATCTTCTGCCTGACCTCTGACTTCGTGTTCAGGTGGCCGTCCATGCTGAGCTGGAGAACCTGGGCTGGTCCATTGAGAGGGGCCTACCAGGCGAGGCGAGTCCAAAGCAGGCTGCCAAAGCAGGTGGCTGGGTTTCAGGAGAAGAATTCTACACGTACGTGCAGCCAGGGGGCCCAGGGCTGACTGTGTTTATGTCGTCCTACCTTGAGGACTTCCTTCCAACTCCCTATCCTACCCCAGGGAAAGCCCCTGTCCCTCTTTAATTCTCCCAGCACCACTGGGCCTTATGTTGCTTGCTCCCATCCAGGCACCCCCTGTTCTGTACCCCCTTCCCCTAGAATCACCCAGCTCTCCAGACACACATTTCTGCTCCTTTGGTCTCTCTCAAATCCTGCACAGGCTCACAAGAAGAGTTTTGCAGCTGGAGACTGTCCTGGAAGGAGTCATGACCCAGGTTGATGCCATGAGCTCGAAGCTGACGATGGTGGAGAGGAAGGAGTGGCTGGCTCCTCCTCCGGGCGCAGTGAGTGGTCCTTCACCTGGCTCTTCTTGGCTGCCCACAGCTGATCTCTACCATCTTTTCCACTCAGTGGATGGAGGAAAAACATTTTTGAAAGACCAGCATTTCAGGCTCCTGGGGCAACATGTTCCCAGTAGTCAGTCTGTCAGTGGAGGTCGGGTGTGTGGAAGGAAGAACTGAACTTGGTTGCTCTGGCCTGAGGGTGGCCTTAGCCTCCAGGAGAGGGTCTGGGGTTGGAGAAACAGATCCAGGTAAAAGGAAAGTGGACACAAACTCCTCCTCCAAGTGACCTGTCCTTTTTTTCTTCCAACAGGGGGAACAAGGCATTTGGGAGCACCTGCAGACAGCCCCAGCTGTGACTCCAGCCCCCTGGGGATGCTAGGGCGGGCAGGAGAGTAGTGGGGGAGGGGTCCTAAAGCGTCAGACAGCAGGTTCCTCTGTCACCGCCTCCCCAGAAGCTCCCCCAGCACACGCCCTCCACTTCTAGGGCAGTGGGTGCTACCACTGCTGCTGCCAAGCCCCACCCTGTGCCTGGCCTTTTGAACCAAGGTTTCTGTATGTAGCTGTGTAGCTCTATGAAATATTTCCTGCTGGGCCTCTCACCCTCGTGTGCTCTGAACTCTGCTGTGATAATTTTAAAGTCAATAAAAAGGGTAATAACTTTCCTGAGCATCTGGATAGCCATGATTTGTGAAAAAAGTAGAAGCTGAAAGAATAGCAATATCTGGATGTCTTCTTACTTGCCAGTGAACCTTTTCCTCTGTGTGTCTTGAGGACAACTGCCGGCAACCATGGGGTTCACTTCTTCCCCATTGGGTTTCCCTGTGAAAGAGAAGAGGAAGCCAGAGAGGAGGGGACGCTTTCTTGCGTGGGGAGAGTACAGTGTTATAGAGGAGTTGGATTGGTGATCTCCCTCAACCTTCCCCAGCAAAGTCCAGGAAGGCTCAGTGGCAAGCCTGCCTCCAGACATGCCACTGAACAGGGAGAGGGGTGTAAACCAGAACAGAGCTGAAGCCTGAGGAGAAGCTGGCCAAGAAATGACCTCAGGATTCTAGGATCTTTGGATAAAATGTGGGGGACTCTGATTCTCTCCTTCCACAGAACATTACGGGTTTGCCTGGTGATTATCAATAAAAAAAATCCTTAGGAAAACCAGGACTTTGCACTTGCTTTGGGGATGGCAGGAGAAAGAAGAGGGGCTGGAACTGTGACCCATCCTTGTATTAATACTAGGGCTGGAGAAATCTCATCCCTCCTGGGAAGTGTAGAGCTGGGGCAGTGACAGTGTGAAGAAGCTGGGCTGCTCCAGGAGTCCTGAAGGAAAAACTTCTGACTCATAGGAATGGTTTGAAATGGTGGACACTATGATTGTCCTATTGGAGGAAGTGGAGGTGGTAATCTAGGGTGTTCTTGTCCTTAGAGTGAAGAGAGTAAGGGGTGTGTGTGTGTTTGTGTGTTTGAGTGTGCACGCACGTGCACTGTTGGGTGTGGGCAGTGAGAGTGCAGATGGAGAATAACCAGAGATAAGACAAAAAAACTCCTACATCAAGATTTCGGGTGTATAGGCCTGCATCTTGACACCTGCTATATATCACCTCTCTCTTCCCCTGTGATCTTTATTCCTCTCTCATTTTGCACATTCCGCTGCTCCCCAGTTTCTTTTTTCATCCATTCCCTTCACCCATCCCTGTTCTTCCATCCCATCAAATACATTCTATTTGTATTTGAAACAGCTGAATGCAATTAAGAACACCAGACTGTATCCTTAGTTCTGAAAAATTATAACTGGACTTCCCTGGTGGTTAAGACTCTGTACTCCCAATGTGGACACACGGGTTTCATCCCCTACAGGGTTGGGGGAACTAAGATTCCACATGCCAGGTGGTGTGACCAGAAAAAAAAAAAATGATCTAAGCTTTCTTCAAGAAAGGTTATAGCAACGGAAGAGAAACAGGTGCCAAACAGTCTGCAGTTTGAAAAAAAAAAAAAGGCCCAGTGAGCTGACCTTAATCTAGGACATCGGAAGTGAAGTGAAGTGAAAGTCGCTCAGTCCGGTCCGACCCTCTGTAACCCCATAGTCCATGGAATTCTCCAGGCCTGAACACTGGAGTGGGTAGCCTTTCCCTTCTCCAGGGGATCTTCCCACCCCAGGGATCAAAATCAGGTCTCCCGCATTGCGGGTGGATTCTTAACCAGCTGAGCCACAAGGGAAGCCCAAGAATACTGGAGTGGGTAGCCCATCCCTTCTCCAGGGGAACTTCCCGATCTAGGAGTCGAACCGGGTCTCCTGCATTGCAGGCGGATTCTTTACCAACTGAACTATCAGGGAATTGGTATTTTGGTTCAGGTATAACTGCCTGAAGGTTTCCGAGAGCCTGGATGAGACTATCTTCAAAAGCATGGATTTCCTGAGCAATCTTTCAGAGACTAATACCGGCCAGAGTGAGAATTCTCTGGGGAGGGGCTAACTTGTCTCTTTACCACTTTATAATAAGCAGGCTACACTGGGCTCGACTCATCCCAGAGGTCGTGGGTCTTGCTAGGCTAGCGACACTTCCAGGGAGTGGCCGCGGGACTGAGTGCATCCTTGGTTCCAGATGTCGGACCCTTGGCAGCGCATTGACTCACAAATATTTTAGCTTTAAATTTGGCTTAGTGCTTACGCTTGGTTATTATTCACTACTTGAGACATAACAGCCCACAAGCGCAGAATGACAGGGCACTGAACTCAGGGCGGGGAGGGCGGGGTACGCCCAGCGCGCATGCGCAGCACCTCACAACCGGAAGCAGCGCGGGGGCAGGGCATGGCGGCGGCGGCGGCGGCGGCGGCCGAGGGTGTCCCCGCGACCCACCGCGAGGAGCCAGTTCGAGGTATGCGGAGTGGACAGGGATGAAGTGTCCGGTGGGAGGCCTGAGTCTCCGGGTACGGGCCCGAGATGCCGGGGCTCACCTGGCGGGAGCGGGCAGATCGAAGGGGCGCGCCTGTGTGCGCGCGTGTTTGCCCTGTTAGGGCAACTGAGAAGCAGTAGCCGCGAGGTCAAGTGTGGGCTGAGGCCGGTGCAAGGGAGCGGAGGCATGAGGCAGAGGCAGGTGAGGCAGGAACGAAGTGAGGGACTCGGAATTATGGCACATTAGGACGGAGCCGATTTGATGGAATGAGGTCAGGTGGAGGGGTGTGGGGAGAAGCTGCTGTGTCTGGATTAGCACCGGGGCAGGGCGGGGCACTTACTCATTCTCCTTTGATTCAGATGATGTCGCCGTGGAGACTGCTGAGGAAGCAAAGGAGCCTGCTGAGGCTGACATAAATGAGCTCTGCCGGGACATGTTCTCCAAAATGGCAACTTACCTGACTGGGGAACTGACGGGTGAGGCGCGGTCCGGATGGATGCGGGTAGTGCCGGGCACCACCCGCTGGAGTGGTTTGGGGTTTGGCACCGGTGAGATGCTTTGGCGGCGTCAGTCTGCGGCTCCCTCCCTAACCCCATAAACTTCAAAATATGCCTGTTGAAAGTTTGGGGAGGTCAAGAAAGTGTAGGAAAGAAGTCCCTCCCTTCCCTGGAGAAATTCAGGAACTACTTTCAGAAACACAGGATAAACAGCAAGGTCCTACTATGTAGCACAGAGAACTATATTTAATATCCAATGATAAACCATAATGGAAAAGAATGTAAGGAAAAAAGAATATGTGTGTGTGTGTGTGTTGTATATATATTTATCTGAGTCACTTTGCTTACAGCAGTAATTAACACAGCATTGTAAGTCAACTGTATTTAAAAAAAAAAAAAAGTTCGGTGCAGAAACACGTAAGAATACTTAATATAACCCTGGAGGTCTCCATAGTGTAGACTGAGCCTGAGAAAACGAAAAAGAATTCATCAAGAAGTGCTTCCTTGGGGGAAGTGTATTTTGAAAGGGGTTGTAGAGAATATAAGAATTGATCAGCCGAAAAGTGGGAAATGACTAGTGAGTGAGGTGGTATAAGCAAGCTGTTTGTTTGGCTAAAGAGATGTACTTAAATTAGGTTAAAGGGAAATGGGGAGTGACCAGCAAAATTTGGGGTCTATTAGGTTGGTCTGAGGATTTGACGACCCACTCTTTGAGACATTAATTTTTTGGTCCAGTGTGTATTTCCAAGTGAACGCATGACCCATGTGTGAAGGAAGGTCCAAAAAATGAAGTCTGGGTCAAGTGTAGCTTTTCATAAGGGTCTGTTATATTGTTTCACTTCCCCAGGAAGTTGCTGTGAGCTAAATTTGTGAACCAGAATCTATGAGAAAATGCTTGATGCAGAATAGGAGGGGTTGTGAGTCTCCAACAGCCTATTTGTTTATTTCTGAGCAAGAGAAACCAAGCAACAAAATCTAGATGATTTTTTTTTTTTGGCTTTTTAAAAAAATTCCAAAGACTTGGCAATGCTCCCATTCTTGCAAGGCTCTAATTGACGATAGTTGGGCATTGTCTCCTTTAAATGGACCACATGGTGCAGTTTGTCCCTCCTACTCCCTGTTTTCTCTCTTTTATGGAGACCTGGTGTCAGTTGCCATTTATTACTCTGCTTATATTGTTTTTTAGTAGTGGTATAGAAATGGTTTTCTGTACCAATGTCTATCAAAATTGGTAAAGTAAATGATAGACTAAGACTAAGAAAATCATACTGTTCCAAGAAATGAGAGTGTATTTCTTTGTAGAAGTGAATAATTTTGTGTTTAATATGCAAACACCTGGCTTGCTTCACTCATTTACATAATATTGCTGGCTCCTGGGTATTTGAGTATGTCACCGTCGTTTGAAAGAGACAAATTTGATAGCAGTGAGAGTGTGGATATGGAGGAGAGATGGAATAACAATATTTCAGATGAAAAGATATGGTCTGTGACAGAGTGATGGTAAAAGGAGTGGAGAGAGGAGCATGGACCATTATAGAAGTGGAATTTATAAGACTTGTTGAAGTGGATATTGAGGGATGGGAGCAGATAAAGACATGTCTGAGGTTTTAAGCCAGTGGTGCCATCAGCCAAAATAGGCAAGTTGGAAAGAGGAACCATGTTTAGTGTGAAAATATTTTCAGCTTGGGCTTTGCTGATTTTAGGTATTACTGGGATACTCGGGTGACTGTTACCAAGACATTCAGGTGACTTGAATATGTGAGTCCAGAGCTCAGAGAGTGATCAGAGCAGGAGAAACAGATTTGGGAGTCACTTGCCTAGTAGTGTGAGTTTAGGATGTGTAGAAAGAGATTGCCAAGGAAGACCTTAGAGGTAGATAAGAAGACCTGAACTAAAATCTCAGGGAATGCCTGTATTGGGCAATCAGTTTTTATTAACAGTACTTAAAGTACCTAGATTTACAAATTATTTATTATAAAATTAATTTAAAGTGGATTGTAATTTCCCTATGATTGTCATTCTTATCTATACAGATAACTTTTTTGAGTTTGAAACTCAAAAACTCTGGGAGTGCTGTAGGAATGTGCCACCTATATAAACATCAGCCATGAGTCACAGCTGAGGCAGAGCTGAGACCTGATAGTTAAGGGGGTTGCATGAGAAGAGATCTGGCATAGACACTCAAAAAGAGCAGTTATATTAGAAAATGCTATAGCAGCCAAGGAAAGGAGCAGTTCATGGAGAGAGGGAGATCAGTAATGTCAGATACTATGGAGAGGCAAAGGAGGATAATAACTGAGAAAAGGCCAAGGATTTGGTAATTAGGAGAGCACTGACAACCTTGGAGCATGTGATTTCTCTGGGTGTTGGGGACAGAGACCAGACAGGAATGGTTTACACCAGAGAGTGGTGAGGAGGAGGAAGCAATGAGTGTAAGTTACTCTTTCAAAAGGGTTAACAGTGAAGCTCCTTTGCTTTACTGAGTGAATGATGTAGGTGTAGAATAGAGGGAGTGCTTCTGGGCTGGAGTAAACTGGAATATAGATAGAGAGGAAGGTGCCAGGATAGAGAGAGAATTTGGAAAGGCAAGGGAAAGGAAATGGTTAAAGAGAGGCTCTGAAGAGGTAGAAGGATTGGGATCAGGCACACAGGAGGAGAAGGAGCTGTCTTGGCAAGAATAGGAACACTTCTGCCTCTTGAGAATATATTAAGGTACAGAGCGGTTTAGAACTGAGGCAGAAAGACTGAGGCAGTTTATCTAAGTGGGCTTGGCTTTTGGGAAAGTTCGAGTAAAGGCCAGTTGCTTTGAGTAGGAATGGGGAAGGGAACCAAGAATGTGAGAAGCAGGCAAATAGTTTGGAAAAGTCAGTGCATAAAATGGAATACAAAATTACAAGTAGTAAATGAATTACTAAGAAGCGTTGAGGTCCTAGTTGACTTTATATATATTTTGAGATATATATATATATATATATATATATATATATATATATATATAAATGTATCTCTCCCCCATCTCATCTACATTTATTTGCAAAGCTCTTTTTTTTCCCTTATTTTATTTTCAATTGATGGTAATTGCTTTACTATGTTGTGTTAGCTTCTGCCATATAAGAGTGTGAATCAGCTCTAAGTATACATATGTTCCCTCCCTCTTGAACCTGCCCCTCTTCCCTCACCCCCAGGTTGTCTCAGAGCACTGGGTTGAAGTTCCCTGTGTTACAGCAACTTCCCACTAGCTATCTGTTGTACATATGGTAATGTATATGTTTCAATGCTACTCTCTCAATTTGTCCCACCCTCTCCTTCCCCCATGTGTCCACAAGTCTGTTCTCTGTGTCTCTATTCCTGGCCTACAAATAGGTTCATCAGTATGATTTTTCTAGACTTCATATGCATGTTAATAAACAATATTTGTTTTTCTCTTTCTGACTTAACTTCAATCTCTATAACAGGCTCTGAAAGTGAAGTCACTCAGTCGTGTCTGACTCTTTGCGACCCCATGGACTATAGCCTACCAGGCTCCTCAGTCCATGGGATTTTCCAGGCAAGCATACTGGAGTGGGGTGCCATTTCCTTCTCCAGGGGATCTTCCCGACCCAGGGATTGAACCTGGGTCTCCCGCATTGTAGGCAGATGCTTTACCGTCTGAGCCACCAGGGAAGCCCATAACAGGCTGCAGGTTCATCTGACTCAATAGAATTGACTCAAGTTCATGCCTTTTTATGGCTGAGTAATATTCCATTATATATACGTACCACAACTTCTTTATCCCTTCATCTGTCGATGGACATATAAGTTACTTCCATTTCTTGGCTGTTGTAATGTATATTAGGGTCAGCTCAGTTCAGTCGCTCAGTCGTGTCTGACTCTTTGTGACCCCATGAACCCCAGCACGCCAGGCCTCCCTGTCCATCACCAACTCCCAGAGTACACCCAAACCTATGTCCATTGAGTCAGTGATGCCATCCAACCATCTCATCCTCTGTCGTCCCCTTCTCCTCCTGCCCTCAGTCTTTCCTAGAATCAGGGTCTTTTCAGATAAGTCAGCTCTTTGCATCAGGTGGCCAGAGTGTCTTTTTGAATTATGGTTTTCTCAGGGTATATGCCCAGTAGTGGGATTGCTGAGTCATATGGTAGTTTTATTCTTTGTTTTTTAAGGAATCTTAATACTGTTCTCCATAGTGGCAGTATCAAGTTACATTCCCACCAACAGTGCAAGAGGGTTCCCTTTTCTCCACATCCTCTGCAGCATTTATTGTTTGTAGTTTTAAAAAAGTTATTTATTTATTTAGCTTTGGCTGTGCTGAGTCTTCATTGCCGCTTGGGCTTTTCTCTAGTTGTGGCGAGTGGGTACCACTCTCTTGTTGCAGTGCACAGGCTTCTCATTGTAGTGGCTTCTCTTTGTTGTGGAGCATGGGCTCTAGGGCACTTAGGCTTCAGTACTTGCAGCATACAGGCTCAGAGTTGGGGCTTACGGGCTTAGTTGCTCTGCAGCATGTAGGATCTTCCTGGATCAGGAGTTGAACCCCTCTCTCTTACATTGGCAGGTGGATTTCTTTACCACTGAGCCACCAAGGGAGCCCCATTTGTAGATTTTTTTTGATGATGGCCATTTTGACCAGTGTTGAAGTGATAACTTCATTGTAGTTTTGATTTGCATTTCTCTAATAATGAGCGATGTTGAGCACTTTTTCACATGTTTATTAGCCATCTATATGTATCTGTATTTATGGTGCAGTCTGCCCAATTATATGATGTCACATTGTAGGGAGACCAAGACTGCTTCACCTCCCTTTTTCTGGTACATGAGTTTATCTTTTCCCTTTCTAACTACGATCCTGAAGCTTCTGGATTTTACTTGGTTTAGTTTGCCAATTGTTGCCTGAATTCCTGCTTAGACATTTAGAATACATATGTGTGTGCCTAAGTTGCTTCACTCGTATCCTACTCTTTGCGATTCTATGGATGGTAGCCCTCCAGGCTTCTCTGTCCATGGGATTCTCCAGGCAAGAATACTGGAGTAAATTGCCACGCCCTCCTTCAGGCGATCTTCCCAAACCCAGGGCTCCTGCAGCTCCTGCACTGCAGGCAGATTCTTTACTGCTGAGCCTCCAGGGAAGCCCTAGAGCACATAGGCTGAGTAGAAACATCATAGATCAGAAGTGGCCTGCTTCTTTGACGTTCCCTAGATCCTGCCTTGAATTGCCATTTGGTAGTTAATTCCACATTCTAGTGATCTACACAAATCTTAAAGGTATCACATCTTCTGTGTTTGTTTTAAAGCCACCAGTGAAGACTATAAGCTGCTGGAAAATATGAATAAACTAACCAGCCTGAAGTATCTTGAAATGAAAGATATTGCTATAAACATTAGTAGAAACTTAAAGGACTTAAACCAGAAGTGTAAGTAATAATTTTACAATTAAACATATTTGTTTGTATTTAATGTTCTTTTGTGTTTGGGGCAGTGGAGAAGGGAAGGGAGCATGGTCTCTGTCCTCAGGTAGCTCATTTTCTAAAAGTGAATTACAAAGTTAAAGTGAATTTTTTCCATTCTGAGGATTAGTGTGCTTTGGTGGTATGGTTATTTCTGCTTCTGAATCTTGATTTGATCCATTTATTTCCAGAAAAATGGGGTAGAGGAAAGGTGGCCAGATTCTAGTGAATTAACTTAACAATGAAATCCGTAAAGGACTACTTTATAAACAGAAAACTATAACATATATAATCATAAAATGCTACTTTAGTTGGTAGAATATATTTTCCTGTTGACTTATATTTGTGTTCCCTGTCTATAGGGCCCTCCTTCTTGGTCTGGGAGTACCCAAGAAACTGAGTCAGTAATGGAAAGATTGCTTGAGGAGCAAGGAATTTAAAAGAGAGGAAAACTAGTAGATGAGAGACACTTAACTTTGTTTAGGTCACCAGTCATGCCTGATCAGCTGGCTACTGTCTTCTAAGGCATGTGCCCTCCAGTGATCAGAATCATGTCACTCCACCTACTCAGGCAGAGCTGAAGAGACACTAGCATGCTTACTTTCCACCTTTTTCTGCATTCCTTGTTGATGCTGTATAAGCCAGTGGTCTGTGTTTGTTTTTAAAGATGCTGGACTGCAGCCTTATCTGGATCAGATCAATGTAATTGAGGAGCAAGTAGCAGCTCTTGAACAGGCAGCCTACAAGTTGGATGCATATTCAAAAAAACTGGGTAACCATTTTTATTTGTCTTGATTTGATAAGAGCACCCTCCTGCCAGTATGACCTTATATAATGATAGTTAACATTTATGGTATGCCTATAGTGATCTATTTTAATCTTCACAAAACCTCTGGAGAGTAACTTTTTATGACTAGTAGTAATAAAATAACATATCCTGAGTGCTTAATAATATATCAGGCACTGTTCTTAATATTTTTTGCCTATTATTTTTTTTATCCTTTAATCTCTGAGGCAAGTACATGATTTTTAGCCCCATTCTATTGAAGATGAAGCTGTGGTTGAAGGAGTTATAACTGGCTTAAGGACAGCAGAGTTGCACAGTGAAAGTGCTTCAGGACACAAAGTTAGTATCTAGAAGAGCTGTATTCCAAACTATGTCTGATTGATTTCAAAGCTCAGGCTTTTAATTGTGGTTCAGCAGGCTGAAGCATCTTTAATAATGTAGATACACATTTCAGAAATAGAGTAGGCGGTCCAATCAAGGCTTTCTTAAGGGCTTACTTTTCCTTTAAGGAAGAAACTGGTACTAGTGTTGATGCCTTGCTACCTGACTCTGGCTCTTATATCCATGATTAAAAATAACACAGTTGTTTAAAAAAAAAAAAAACCACTGCTGTTTTTACCATAAATATAATTTACATGTTATTTTTTAATCATTGACAGTTGTTGACTACTTCAAGCGATTGGTTTGTAGCAGACTGAGATTTGACATGGGTGGTGGTTAACGTTGTCCACAATTAAATTTACTAAATGGTAACTGTGAACTTTAGAAAGCCAGATGCTTTCAGGGTTTTAAAGAAACAGTTTTTTAAAACAGGGTTTTAAAGAATCTATAACATTAAGGGGTTTACTTGATGGTCTTTTAAATTCCTGAATCTTTCAAAATTGTTTTCCTAGTGTGTATGAGGGATAGGGATAAGAACATAAAAGGAGAAACATACTTGAGATTGAAAGGTTGTTGCTGACCCACGAAAAGATGCCAGGATTCTTGGCCTCCAGAGGAGAAGAATTAAGTCTGGGGCCAGAGACGAGGCTTGATCGCTCAGAGCTTTTGTATAATAAAGTTTTATTGAAGTATAAAGGAGATAGAGAAAGCTTCTGACACAGGCATCAGAAGGGGGCAGAAAGAGTACCCCTCTGCTAGTCTTCAGCTGCATGTTATATAGTCACTAGCAGTCTTTTAATGAAAGAAAGGAATGTCTTAAAACTCAGAATGGCACCAGGCCCCTCATCCATAAGATGTATTTTGGGGATAATCTTGGCACCAGACAATTCATCCCAGGCCATAAAACAATTGACTTGAATCTTGTAGAAGGGCAGATTACCATACAAATATGAAGACAGGGTATGGGGTAAATGCATAGTACATTAACATAGCTTAAGACAAACATTTCCATAAGAAAAAGGCATTGGTTAACTCAAGGTTTCAGAATAGTTAACTTCAGGTGAAACCAGGTATCATTATGGCAACACAGTATTTTAAGAGAAACCTCCTTTTAAATTTGTATAGAGAAGGAAAAAAACATCACTAGATATTGAGAGAGAGAAAAATGTCTGACACTTGCAGCCTATTTCCTCCATTTGGAGACCCCTGGCCTTCCTGCCTGCTACCCTCTCAAGATTTCAATATGGCTCTCAGAGGGTGCCTGGGACAGAGCGTGGAGGGGCAAGTGCTTCCTATGCTTTTCTAAGGCTCCTGGTGGCTCAAGTGCTAATAGGTTTGCTTAACCCTGGTAGAGTATCTGAGCAGGTGCTGTTGACAGGGTTAGAATGTAGGGAACTCATGTTAGATTCTTGGTTGTGTGTGTGGATATTTGACTCCTTACCTTAAGTTGTGCACACTGATTATATTTGGACAGATATCCAAATATCTGTCCGTAGCTAATATGATAGTTAGCATTTATGGTGTACCTGTAATTTGGATACAATTTGGACGTCTACAAGGACTGAAGTTAATAGATATTTAGAAAAATTTTTAATGTAATAGACATTTTTGAATTTGCCTGGAAATGCTAACTAAAGAGTATCTTTGTAAGAGCTGATTTTGTTTTTTTATATTTTAATTTTTGGTCACATTGCATGGGCGTGTGTGATCTTAGTTCCCCGACCAGGGATCAAACCTGCGCCCTCTGCATTGGGAGATGAAATCTTAATCACTGGACCACAGGGGAATTCTTTTTTATTTCTTTCTCCCTCTCTCTTTTTTTTTTGCAAGAGCCAATTTTAAAAGATATAACTCTTCCTCTCCCTCTCCCCACTGCAGAAGCCAAGTACAAGAAGCTGGAGAAGCGATGAAAAACTACTGTTTTACTGTGGGGACAAAGTCTTTTTTAATGTGGGAAGAATGTTTTATAGGACCTGAATCTTGAGGTTGATGAATTGTCAAAACTCCTCAAAAGGCAACTATGCTGGTCGTCCCAGAAACATAGCAACATTGGAGTAAACTGGAGAACTGTGGCTGTCCCTGGAAGAACTTCTTTTGAGGCAGAATCCTCAGAAACTCAACAGCTCCTTACCTTTTACTTGAATGCTTCATCATCCATTCAGGACAGAGAGTTTCTCAAAGTTCAGATAAACCTGGGCCTGCCAGTAGAGTCAAATGAGAGGAGCTCTTTACCCTGGTAGCAGTTGATTACTATATTATTTTCTTAAATGGTTGGTTTTTGAGTTACTGTGTAAAAGGTTGTTTTTTTCTATCAAGGATGTAATGTATTGCTAACAAGATTCTAAATTAAAAAGGGAAAAGAAAACAGTCTTGTTTTTGTCAGTTTATTACCTTGTGAATGTCAGTAATTTACTTTCCCATACATTGCAAATAACAGAAAATGTTAAAACTGTCTCAGGCCAAGTCTTCTAGACTGAACAGAAACAGTGAAAGGAGTGTCGTTGCGATAGCTTGGTGTATGTGATGGGCCCCTCCTGTCTCCTCTTTATGAGTCAGATGGCTAGAGATGGATGACATCTTGGCATATGTGCTCTCTTTTGGAAATATAACAGGATATGTATGGGTGTGTATGTTAGGTGGGGAGGTGGGGCTGCCATCCAGGCTGCTACTCAGTAAGTAAAGCATTTTGTAAAATATCTTCCTACTTGTGTCTACAGGGTCAGGGGAGCTTCCAGGAACCTGACTGTATTCCTTTCAGACTAAAGACATCAGAGGATACTAACTAACCAGTCTAGTTTGGAAGACAGTCAATCATATCCAGAGTTGGGTATTAGCAGTTATGAAGGTGCCTGAGGTCCCCAATTCCATTTCCAAAAGAGTTCTTAACTCAATTCTATAATTTCCCACCATTTAAGTTCTAGAAGTCCACCATGATCCTCTGCTTCTCTGAACTATTGCTGTGGTCTCTTCTCAATCTTAACTATGCCGCTAACCTGCAGTCTACGCTGCTGGCAGTTCAATCTTTCTAAAATGTAAACTGGCCACATTACTCCTGCTTGGAAGTCTTTCATGACTTCTCATGATGTCTTTGAAAAAGTGAGACTTTTTTTTTTTAAGTTAGAAACCAACATTTTAATAAGTATTTCATATTACTTTTGTGTTTCTGAGGAAGTAGTCAGATGTAATTCCCTTTGGTTCTTTATTAAACTTTCTGTAACTTTTTCATATAAGATTCGAAGCATTTGGCCAGATACACACCCTGACGCAAACTAGCATTTTGAAATTGTTATCAATATATAGAGGCAACAACATCCCCAATTCTATTCAGGGTTCTCCTAAGGTAAAGCTGAAAATACCGTAGTTTTAATCTTTCATTCTATTAATGTATTAGATTTATTGATTTGTGTGTGTTGAACCATCTTTGTGGGCTTCCCTGATAGCTCAGTTGGTAAAGAATCCGCCTGCAATGCAGAGACCCTGGTTCAACTCCTGGATCAGGAAGATCCTCTGGAGAAGGGATAGGCTACCCACTCCAGTATTCTTGGGCTTCCCTTGTGGCTCAGCTGGTAAAGAATCCGCATGCAATGCAGGAGACCTGGGTTTGATCCCTGGGTTGGGAAGATCCCCTGGAGAAGGGAAAGGCTACCCACTCCAGTATTCTGGCCTGGAGAATTCCATGGACTGGGTCACAAAGAGTCAAATACAACTGAGTGACTTTCACAACAACAGCACAACAACCATCTTTGTATCCCAGGGATAAATCCCACTTGATCATGTATATGAGTCTTAATGTGCTATTGAATTTGGTTTGCTAGTATTTTGTTAAGAAGCTTTATATCTATATTCATCAAGGATATTGGCCTGTAGTTTTTTTGTAGTATCCTAATCTGGTTTTGGTATCAGAGTAATGCTCACCTCATGAGTTTAGGAGTGTTCCCTCTTCAGATTTTTGGGAACAGTTTGAGAAAGACTGTCATTACTTCTTTTTTTTAGTAGAATTCACCAGTGAAACCATCTGATTCTGGGCTTTTCTTTGTTGGGAGATTTTGATTACTGATTCAAAATCTTTACTCTTTATTGATTTGTTCAGATTTTTCCATTTCTTCCTGACTCAATCTTGGTAAATCATATGTTTCTAGGAATTTATCCATTTCTTCAGGTTGTCCAATTTGTTGGCAGATAATTGCTTATACAGTCTCTGTATTTGAGTAGACTTCCTCTTTCATTAACTTTATTTATTTGAGACCTATCTCTTTTTGTCTTGGTTAGCCCAGCTAAAGGTTTGTCAATTTTGTTTATCTTTTCCAAAACCAACTTAATTTCATTGATCTTTTCTATTCTTCAGCTCTCTATTTCATGTATTTCTACTCTATTTTTTCCTGCTTTCTGCTAACCTTGGGCTTAGTTTGTTTTTGTTTTTCTAGTTCCTTGAGGTGTAATGGTAGGCTTTTTGAGATCTCTCTTTTTTCTTGATACAGGCATTTGTAGCTGTAAACTTCCCTCTTAGAACTTATTTTGCAACATCCATAAATTTTGGTATGTTGTGTTTCCAGGTTCATGTTTGATCTGATTTTCCTTTGATTTCTGTTTTTGTTCTTTTGTTGTTCAAGAGTATGTTTTTCATGCATTTGTGAATTTCCAATTTTTCTCCTGTTACTGGATTCTAGTTTTGTGACATTGTATTTTGAAGAGATACTTGATACCAAGTTTCTATCTTTTTGAATTTGTTGAGACTTGTAGCCAAATACATGATCTAGCTTGGAGAAAGTTCATGTGCAGTTGGCAAGAATGTGTTTTCTAAATCCATATTTCTTAGCATGCATACAAGGCCCCTATTTCATTCCCTTTTTAAATTTTACTTCCTATTACTCTGAGACTTAACCCTGTACTCAGCTGTCATGAGCTACCTTAAATTCCCATGGATGAGGTGTCTTTTTTTTTTCTTTCATAAACTTTCTACTTTACAACAGATTTAGATTTGCTGGAAAGTTGTAAAGGTAACACTGAATTCCATATATCTAAATTAAAAAAGGATAACAGAATTTCATGGTTGAGTTTTCACTTCTCAACCATGTTTCCTCTTCCTGAAATGATTACCTGCCCATGCTTGACAAACTTCTCTTATTTAAGATTCAGTCTTGATCTTCGCTCCTGGGCTATGCTGTCTTGTGCTAAAAGTAGGAAAAAAACATGTTAGTGTGCCAGCAATACAGAGACATCAATGTTTATGAGGCAGGTAATTTGATCTTTCAAAAAAAACATTGTAGAAGTTGTGAGGAAAATCAGAGTTTTTGTTGTTCTTCCTTAAACTTAAGTTTTAGTTAATTTTGAATTGCTTAGGTTGCCTTTGATGAGTCTTCCATGCACCTCAGTTATCAGGAATTCTTCTTTGTTTCCATTTCACTAAACACTGTTGTCTCCAACCAGTAAGACTGAATTCTCAAAAAAAAAAAAAGTCGCTGCCATGAAAAAACTAAAAAGGTAGGTAGGCTATTGTGGATTAAAGGAGATGAGAGAGAGAGCTGAATCCAGGTGTGAAATGTGATTGGATCATGAATGAAAACAAAGGTATAAAATAAACTTGGGAGGACACGAACTTTAAATTTAAATGTGTGTCAGGTGGATAATTTTGAATTAAGGTTAATTTTTTTAGGTGTGTTAATGGTGTTGTGGTTTTGTAGGAGGGTGTCCATCTTCCAGACGTTCAAGCTGGATTTTTGAACTGTGGTGTTTGAACTAGATATTTGAACTGTGGTGTTGGAGAAGACTCTTGAGAGGCCCTTGGACAGCAAGGAGATCCAACCAGTCCATCCTAAAGGAAATCAGTCCTGAATACTCATTGGAAGGACTGATGATGAAGCTGAAACTCCAGTACTTTGGCCACCTCATGCGAAGAACTGACTCGTTGGAAAAGACTCTGATGCTAGGAAAGATTGAAGGCGGGAGGAGAAGGGGATGACAGAGGATGAGATGGCTGGATGGCATCTCCGATTCAGTGGACATGAATTTGAGTAAACTCTGGGAGTTGGTGATGGACAGGGAAGCCTGGCATACTGCAGTCCATGTCGCAGAGTCAGACACGACTAAGTGACCGAACTGAACTGTCCTTCTTAAGAAATACATGCTGAGGTATTCTGCTGTCTTCAATTTACTTTCAAATGACTCTGGAAATAAAAGTATTAATACTATGCACCTTGAAGGAAAGAAGAGGGAGGGAGGAGTAAATTTGGCAACTTGTGGACACATGAATCTAGGGGATGGCCATTGTTCTTTCAACTTTTTGATAGGTTTAAAACTTACAAAAAGCACGTGTGCAGGGAGTCCGTCTTGCCCACAAGAGTGACATGGTTAGGTTGGGGCCAACACTGTGCAGACAGCTTTCTAGCAGCTCACTAATTTCAACTGCCGCCAAATTAAAAATTACAGTGGGAATGTTTTTCTTCGTTACCTTTTCTACGCTCCTTTTTCGTTTCCTCCGTGAGGCGAAACCATCTGAGAGAGACCTTTGTCCCTCGGCGCTCTCCGTAGGTAACTGAGCTTCCATTGGTTGGGCGCGGTGTCGTATTATCGCAGTGCGGCCGAGTTTTCCGGAGGCGCGTGGGTTCGCAGTTCCAGTTTTGCGTGGTCGGCCCAACTCAGGGTGTTAACGCAGATGGCTCAGAAACCGCTGCGTCTGTAAGTGACCTTGAGTCCGAAGCCTGTGTGTGTCTGTGTGTGTCTGTGTGTTTGTGTCTGCTGAAGAGGGTTTTTCTAAAGACGTGAAGAGAGGAGGAAAAGCCCGGGGTGGAAGCCCGGCGGCTGCTGCTGAGCTACCGCGTCTTTGCCTGGCCACCGCAGGGAGGCCTCTTCTCCCGGTTGTTTTCGCTTCTGAAGAGGGAGACAGGTGTCTACAGTCGCAGAGAGAAGAGGAAGCTGCCAGAGTCAGGCCTACATGTTAGGCCTTCCTGGCCTCTGACATCATTTCCCCTTTGTTTCTCCTTGCAGTATATTTATTAGCCAAAAATTGCAGGCATGGGCCCATTGACGGGCCCTGGGCAGTGCTCGACTAAAGAGATAGATAGGGCCTTTGCCCTGGCGTGTTGTTTCAGCGGGGTGGTGAGGAGAAGCCTTCCATTCATCCATTCATTCAACAGCATTGATTGAACAGTTGCAGTGTGCCAGGCACTGGTGCTAGGCGTTGCACAGATGGAATTCCTGCCCTAATGAATCTTATAGTTTAGGGGAACAAATATTAATCAGAGAAACCAGATAAATGTTAAATTATGGTCCTGGTAAATGGCAGAAGGAAAAGGTTCACGGTTTTGGGAGGACTTATATAGGATAATTTGGATTAATGTGAGGAATCAAGGAAGTGAGGATTGAGCTGTGATTAATAGTCTTTTTTATTGGTCTTGATTCCAAAAAAAGTCACTGGAATGTTTACAAACACCTTGACATGATCAAATTTTCATTTTGAAAAGCGATTCTGGCTGCAGTGTAAACAAAAAGTTAGAGCCAAAGTAGAAGACAGCTAGGACTAGGTAAATGAAGAAAGTGCAGGAATTCAAGGTCTGTTAAAGAGAGGACATCAACATGGCTTGGAGATGTTTGGTTATGAGTGCGAAGAAGAAGTCAGCATTGTCCGGATCCTAGATTTCTGTTTTTCTTCGGTAGGATTGGAAACTGTGGCAAAGGGCCCAGATGAGATGATGAGTTTTGAGGTGTCTTATGATGTACAGACTGGACGGTGGCTGTCCCCCAAACAATGGTAATCCCATGTGACAACTGCTGTGAAAGGAAGTGCAGCGTCCTGTGGGAGCACTAGGAATTGGTGACTGATAGGGACTGGAGGGCTCTGAAGATAAATGAACATGCCAAATAATTTATTACAGGGTTTGCTCTGAAAAACTGTTTGGGTTTCTAAAGTTTTGAGAAGAGGACTTTCTGAGTTGATCAGGAAGGCTTTAGAGATGTGCTCAGCCTTGAAAGATGGGAAATCTTTTAGATTCACAATGGGTAGAGTGGGACTGTTAGGAGACGTCACCACCCCAAGGGAATGGCAGAGACAGAGAGAGTGATCAGATTGACTGTAGAGAAGGTTTCTGTTTTGGAACTTGGAGAAAGCATTGGGGAAAGAGATCAGGGACTTGTGAAAAGCTGTTATCTCTCTGGCTGTGGAGTTGTCTTAATGTTTTTGAGGAAAGAACATTAAGCTGTTGGCTTTATGTAGGATGGACAGGAAGAAGGGAAGGTATTAGAGGAAATATAAGTATATTCCCTATGTTGTAGCCATTACCAGATTCATTATATTTCTCTCTGATTCTTCTTCAGTAACTACAGGACTCTCAGTTGCTCTGCCTCGTAATTGTCCTGAGGCAGAAAATATAAAGAAAATTCCTCTTCTCTATATTCCTTAACATGTCCTCAGCATAGTACTTGGCATACTGCACTTAGTAAAGCATATTATAGGTGCTCAGTGTGTGTTTGTTGAATGGATGACTGAAATCCTGTGCTAAGATGGTGGCAGTGGAAATGAAAAGTGCAAGAGGATCACAGAAGATGCTTGTAAAAGGAATTGAAGAGACTGGATGGGGGATTTTTGCCTCTTGGTAATCAGGTTGGCAGTAGACTTATGCACAAAACTTGGCAAGTGAGAAGAAACTGGTTCAATTTTGGAGGAAATGATAAGCTAAATTTTAGATATGGTGAAGATATCTGGTGAGACCTTCAGGTGGAGCCACCCAGCAGTCACTAATAATTCACATGCCTTGAACCCCTCAGGTAACCTCAGAGAGACTGGAACCCAAATCTCCCTGATCCAGAAAGACTAGTATATATACCAAACCCAGCAGGCCCATTTGTGTGTCCTGAACTGCTTTAACATTTATATATTATTTGCAGCTTGGCATGTGGAGATGTCGAAGGAAAGTTTGATGCTTTATTCAGTAGAGTTCGAGCAATTCAGAAGAAAAGTGGAAACTTTGACGTAAGATGTTTCTTTCTACTGTATTTAAAAATTTGATTGTTGTAATCAAACATATTAAAGTTTGGGCTTCTTTATACATTTCTAGAACACCTACTCTCTTGTTAGACTGAGTTTCTTTTGTGAGCATGGAAATTTAGTAACTGATGAGTGGTATGGGAAAGGGGATGTGTTTACTGTAGACTTTTTTTATACTCTTGAATTTGAGTTTTGTTACTTTATTACTTTACACAAAACTGGAAACAGACTAGCAAAACCTTCAGTTCAGTTCAGTTGCTCAGTAGTGTCTGACTCTTTGTGACCCCATGAACTGCAGCACTCCAGGCCTCCCTGTCCATCACCAACCCCTGGAGCCTACCCAAACTCATGTCCATTGAGTCGGTGATGCTATCCAACCATTTCATCCTCTGTCATTCCCTTCTCCTCCTGCCTTCAATCTTTCCCAGCATCAGGGTCTTTTCAAATGAGTCAGCTCTTCGCATCAGGTGGCCAAAGTCTTGGAGTTTCAGCTTCAACATCAGTCCTTCCAAAGAACACCCAGGACTGATCTCCTTTAGGATGGACTGGTTATCAGTCCTTCCAATGAACACCCAGGACTGATCTCCTTTAGGATGGACTGGTTAAATCTCCTTGCAGTCCAAGGGACTGTCAAGAATCTTCTCCAACACCACAGTTCAAAAGCATCAATTCTTTGGCACTCAGCTTTCTTTATAGTCCAAATCTCACATCCATACATGAGCACTGGAAAAACCTCCCTTAGTGATTCTGATTACTGGGTTTGGGAAGCACAGATCTATTTCATGGGTGTAATGGTGTGGATGAAGTCAGACAATATATGTGCAAATGCTTCACAAACTAAAGAGCCCTGATTGTTATGTATTGTTGACTACTGGACTCTAAATTCTTAGAGTATAGAAGAGTATTGTAGGTATGGGAGTTATTTGTTCATTGGGCTAAAGGTTGAGTAAGACAACAAGCAGGAGATGTGTCCTTTTTTTTAATTTTTTTTTTTTAAATGTGTCCTTTATTTCCTTTATCTCTCAGGGTACCTAATACCTGAGGGATACCTAAGTTTTGTATTTCACAGAGAGATTCTTCAAGGTTGATTTCTCCATTTTTTCCCTGACCCTCTCATCCCCTTCATCACCTTGTATTTGACAGCTAGAGAGCCAAAATTTAGTAATTGGTAGAATCAGAGTAACTACTACAATTGTTAAAGAATTGTTTAGAAATTCTATAAATTAAGGAAAAAAATGGTTAGAGATAATTAAATAGGGTAATTAGCCAAATTATGTTACTGTCAATTAATTATGTACTATTTGATAGTTTTTTAAAAATCTCATATCTGTTTAAAAAACTCATTTTAGCTGCTGTTGTGTGTAGGAAATTTCTTTGGCTCCACTCCAGATGCTGAATGGGAGGAATATAAAACTGGCATCAAGAAAGGTATAGAACTTATTTTTCTTTTTAATATTTTATTTATTTGGCTGTGCCAGGTTTTAGTTGCAGCTTATGGGATCTAGTTCCCCAACTAGGCAATCAACCCAGACCCTCCGCATTGGGTGTGTGGAGTCTTGGCCACTGGACCACCAGGGAAGTCCCCAGAATTTATTTTTAACATTATTTTTAACAAAGTTTTAAGGTTCCCTGGTTCTTGCCAAGTTGTTTTTTACATGTTAGTGATTTAAAAGTTTGCCTTTGAGTTTTGCATTGATCTGGGAAGAATTTCTATGTATCCAAATGTTCAAATTTTTAATTTGCCTGTATTTAGTTCCAAGGAAAAGAATTCTCTTCTCAGTGGGAAAGAATTGAATAATGCAACTGTATGTGTTCTTTCCTTTTTTTCAGTTTTTTTATGAAGCTCTTTTGGGTCTGCTTTCCTAACTGTACATTGACCATTTGTTCTAAGATGTGATAAGCCTAGTGATACCATTTAATAATCAAGCCACAAGGTTGGCTGTAGGATGTCCTCTGTGGTGAGTGTGTTCCACGTGGAGGATTGCAGGCTTTACCTTCACTGCGAATGTTTTTCCTTCAGGGAAGCATTCTCAGGTCCCCAAGCAGATCTGCTAACTAGTGAGTGTCATGTCTGTTTCTCTCACTAGCTCCTATTCAGACATATGTGCTGGGTGCCAATAACCAAGAAACAGTAAAATATTTCCAAGATGTTGATGGGTGTGAGTTAGCTGAGAACATTACTTATCTGGGTAAGTGGATATTTTTTACGTGTTTGTAATGAACATAATGTGTCTCAGGAATTAGTCTCCCAGGAAATTTGTGGCTGGATTCGTCTGCCATTACTGCCGGAGAGAATGGGGGTCAGGGGGTTCTTTTCTAAAGTCAGTGTCCATATGCTTAAGACTATGTCGTTTTTCCATTGTTGTCTCTGGTGTCTCATACTTCTCCCCAATCTCCTTGTACTCCCACAACCCAATATATACTGTTTCAGCCAACTAGAGGAGTAAACTGTTTGACCATAATGTTTGGAGTACCTAAGGTATTAATTGTGGTGTTTTTTTTTTTTAAATTCCATGTATGTGGTCTCACCATGTAACATTGCTAGATATATATATCTTATTTGTTAATTAGACTCCTAATTTTCTATAGCTCTAGGTTTCACTGAGGTTTTAAAAAACTCAAGTTTTTAATGCTGGTTCTTGGGTTTTTCACTACTTTTTTGTCCTTTTTCCAATTCAAGGTCCACTTTTCAATTCCAGGTTAAAGTTGGTCCTCTGCAACCCCCTGAAACTCTTATAGTGGGTCCTTTCAGTGTGGCTGTTTTTTTGTTTTGTTTTTTTAAAAAAAAAAACACTGTCAGATTTTGCTTTTCTTCTTCCTGTGATCCGCTCCTTCTACCACTATTGCTTCTTGCATCATTCAACTCAGTTTTTTCCTGGAGAAGGAAATGGCAACCCACTCCAGTATTCTTGCCTGGAAAAGCCCATGGACAGAGGAGCCTGGCAGGCTGCAGTCCATGGGATTACATGACTGAGCATGTGTGCACGAGGGTGGAGGGAGATGGGTTGGCAGCAATAAAGTGGTAGAACTAAAGAAAAAAAAAAAACCTCAGTTTTTTCTAAAATGGCTCAATGACTATTCATATTTCCTCTCTCTTGGTCTCTGTTTTCTTTAGAAAGCTTCCACGTTTCCTTTGCTATAAATGATCCTTTATATATTTTTTTATTAGTATGTGCGTTATTTATTACCTCGTTATTCTTGTTAGTCAGTATATGTATTCCATAACGAGTCAGTATATGGAAAGAGCCGTGTGAGACTCAGTAGATGAAAGGGAGGTGAAAGCTAATGGAACAAGGTTCCGGAGGCAACACAAAGGAAGAGAATCAAGGGCACAAGCCAGAAATAAATTGAGAAGGTGGTAGAGTCTCTTAACTTTTCCTAAATAATTGCTCTTTCCTCATGTTTTCCTTCATTTGGAAGTGTCTGCCTTCATAAAGTGGACATCTATTCTAGACTATAGTTTACTCAAACCTGCAATTTTTTTTTTCTTCTCAGTGCCACTCCAGGTGTCTAGATTTCTCTTAGTCCCTATGGAGTCTCTCTTCTCTTTCTAGAAGGCAGAAAGCCTTTTTCTTAATCAGTGCTTCCAAAGTTTTTTCAGTTGTGAGGCACCTGGAGCAGTCAGCCTGTGGGCTCCAGCAGCTTCCACATAAGGACAGCTCTTATGTACTGAACAGGAATACTGTTGTAGCCATCCAGTGTTGAGATCTGGGAGCCAGAAGTGGGCTTTAAGAGAGTTGGGGCATGAAGGAGATTCATCACTAGCATGACATTTCCTTCTGCAGTGTGCCTAAAACTTTTCCATTTTTCTTTGAACCCAGGTCGTAAAGGTGTCTTCACTGGAAGTTCAGGACTACAGATTGTGTACCTCAGCGGGACAGAGTCCTTAAATGAGCCTGTCCCAGGTTACAGTTTCAGTCCCAAGGATGTGTCTTCCCTGAGGACAATGCTGTGTTCAACACCCCAGTTTAAGGGTGTTGATATCTTGCTCACATCCCCGTGGCCCAAGTATGTGGGGAACTTTGGGAATTCTTCTGTGAGTAGTGTTTGTTCAGTTGGAATTTCTAAAAACAAATTGCAGTGGCTTAATTTGAGCTTTTTTTTTTTTTGTCTGTTTGAGTGTTTCAGTTCTTAGTTCCTTTCAGTAGTAATCTTGTGTGAATTTTTTCGGGATACTTAAAGCCTATTGGCTGATGAAAGCAAGTTGATCTTGTGAAAACACAGCTCACGAATGAAATTGCTGAAGTCTTAATTATAAATGAAAGTTAAGAATTGTAGTCTCTGCCTCAAGTATCCTTCCTTAACCTTCTTAAGATGTTTTGAGGAGTCACTAATATTCAGTGAAATATTCATAGCTAGTGGCAGCTCTGCAGTTTTATTTTTCCCTTTCCATTCCAGATTATATCTTTTTGGCTATTAAAATATTTTAAAAGATGAATCATTATGGGAGTGAAGATAGCGATCTAAAGTTGGGACACAGTATGTTCAAAACTTAGTACTTCTTTAATGGGAAAGCTTTGGAATGTATTGGACTGTGTTGTTGGATTTGATCTAAATACTTTTTATAAGAAGAGGATGTACACCAGGTTGGTGAGTGACAGCTATGCTGGTGGAAAATAAGCCTAAGGAAGACCCTGAAAGATTGTCTGTGAGGGCAGAAAGCATCCACTGAGCTTCAGTGAATGAAAATGTAGAGTATATTTAGGGGAAAAATATCAGTTCCTAGATGCAGAGTTATCAGTGATGATCCAGAAAAGGGCCTTGTAGACTACTCTCTGTTAGCTTTAGCACAATATGTCTGTGACCAAAAAGGCCAACAAAACACCAGGCATTGTCAGGATATTGAAGGTAGAAGGGACATGCTCTTCCCCTTCCAAAAACCCGTGGTTATTCTGCCACTAGAACATAAGGGGCAGTAGATTCAGAGAAAGACTACTAAAGTGATGATGGGAGGAAGACAAGTGATACTCTATAAGGAAGGATGAAAAGGGGTGCTAAAAAAAATGTTTATAATTTTTGATTAAAGTTAACTTTAGTGAAAATGAATAAATAATCACACAAGATATTTATAGGGGAAAAAACACCGGTCCCTAAGATACTGGCCTCAAGGCCAATTCCCTGCCCTTCAGCAGACACCTGAAGGAGGCAAGCATAAGACAAAAGGAAAGTGTTGCTTTACTTAGTGGAAAATTAACTCTGATAATTTCTCTCTTTCAAAGAATGACGTTCTAAGAGAAAGTATGAACTGGTTATGGGTGAGAGGTCACATAATTTGTTGTTAATGGAAGCTCTGGGAATAAGCCTAACTTTTGACAGACTGAACCAGGGACATGGTTGTGCCCTTCTACAAGCCATGCCTTCCTTGACTGAAGCAAAAGAGAGGGCTGTATGCTTATGTGATGAAGTCCCTGAATGTTTTATGGCAAATATTCTGTGGATCCTAGGGGCTCTGATCCTAGGGGCTTTTGATTTTAATCTTCTACAGAAGTGACTGTTGCTGCCTGCATTATCAGAACTACAGGAGCACAGCAAAACAAATTGTAGACACACAGTCTGTGGGCTCCAGAGAGAGAATACTTACCTTCCCAAATGAGATTTTTCATAAATCTTGTTTTGGGTGTTTATGTGGAGGAGTAACCTTCCTCCTTAACTTCTGGCTTCTAACTGTTGTTCCTATTTCTGCATTTGTAATTGGCCCATTTCCCCTTATGTGTTTAGTTTTCTGATTGCCATAGAGTGGAATTCATGATGCAAATTCTACTGCCACATTGTACCCACATAAAAATTCCAAAGACATTTCAAAGTGTCTTGTTATATCTCTGCATTTCTTGATAACTCCTAGATCTGTTAATGATGACTAAATTTCTGTTTACTAGGGAGAAGTGGATACCAAAAAATGTGGCTCTGCTTTGATCTCCAGTCTTGCCACAGGCTTGAAACCAAGATATCATTTTGCTGCTTTGGAAAAGACCTATTATGAGAGGCTTCCATATCGGTGAGTAGCATTCCATTTTTTTTGGTTTTTTGAAGAATTTGCTTGGATTTTCTGTGTAAACTTCTCCCTTTCATTTCAGCCATATTACATCTTGGTTTCTTTTAGTTTCTAAGGCATGAAATAAGTGACTCTCAAACCATTCCACTTCTCTGAGTTTGGTTTCCTAATTTTAAATACAAAGGATTGGCCAATACAGGGCCCCTTGTAGGCGTAAGGGTCTGACATTACAGTGCTGTTTAATCATCATAGCTTGATGTATAGTATGTCCTGTTTTGATCAGGTTAAACAGTGCTCCTTGTATAGTCTTAAACTCAGGGTAATTACCTAAGAAGCATTTCAATTTAGGAATCAAAAACTTGTATCAATTTTTTTTCTTCTTTTTTTCAGTATAGTTTGAAAGTGGAGTTTTTAAAGGATATATTGCAGAAAAAATAAAACCAGTGTTTTATAAGTTATAGAGTTAAGTAAAGTTTATTGTGAATGACCATCACTGTAAAGGGCATGGATAATCCCTAAACAATTTATACTTTTTTTTTCTTATTCAAAAGCATTATATGTGTTGTTAAGAGTCAAAAAATATCGGTGAGCAAAAGAAGAATATAATCTGCTCTTTCCCTATAAATCCCACAGCCTAAGGTATAAACATAGATATTACAGATTTTTGTTTTATATCTCCATATATGCCTTCTAGAAAAACCTCTTCTTCTCTGAAACCATACACTAAAAACAGAAAGGTTATTGGAACAAGCCACTCAAAGGCAGTTCAACCTTTAAGAATGCAAATATATATTTCTCTGAAGAACATAAACCAGTGGCCAATAGGCACGTGAAAAGATGCTCTCACATCATTAGCCCTTAGGGTATTCTATTATATTATTACACAAACGAAGAGAGACTAGTATAATGAACCCTCCTGAACCCATAACCTACATCCACAATTATCAACATTTTGCCAGTTGCCCAACTCTTTTAAAATCAAGACTTTTTTTGTGCTTTTCAGATTTGTGATCTCTTTTTTTCCTAACAGCAGCCCTGGGAAGTAGGCATGATTATTCTACTGAATGGATGGGTAACATCTGAGATATTACTGGTGATGATGTAGTCATGGACTTAGGCCTATGCTCTTTTCATGGACCCATGGAATCTACATATTTTGTAATTGCAGATCAGAAGTAAAGTTTGTTGTTGGGAATTCATTGGCAGTCTAGTGGTTAGGCCTCAGTGCTTCCATTGCTGGGTTTGCTCCCTAGTCAGGGAAGTAAGAATGAGTAAGCCTCAAGCCACAGCCAAAAAAAGGTAAAGTTTGTTGATAACCTATTATCTTTCAAATATATTACAGAAATCACATTGTTCTACAGGAAAATGCACAGCATGCCACCAGGTTTATAGCTCTGGCAAATGTTGGAAATCCAGAAAAGAAAAAGGTAAATGTTGAGTGTTTGGTGGTTGGTTAGTATTCATTGTCTGCCTAATAAATGTTCCTCTTGCCCAGTTTAGGATTCAGATCTTCTCTTCTTCCCAACTGTAATGTCCCAGTACTTCAGCGACTTTACTCTTTGTAATAATATGGTAATGAAAGGTCAGTTTCCTTGGGTCCTTTGTAGGAGATTTTAGGGAAGGGTTTGGTAAAATAGGCCCAGTGGAACAAAGGCAGATTTTCAAATGAGTTACGTTCCTTTCTTCCCACATCCATGTGGTTGTCTCCATGGGTATTTTTCAAGAGTTTGACATCAGATGGTACTATTGCTTTGCTTCTTTTAGCAACTTCATTTAGTCAAAATAATAAAATCTTCCCAAGGATTTACCTAAGCTCTCCTTGGCTTTGGGCAGTCTTAGTGATACCTGGAATCTGGCTTTATACTGGAAAACTGTGCAAGTGAATGAAAGAAAATATACCAGAAAAGTATATATATTGGTTTTCTCATTTCCTTGAGAGCATTTCTGATTCTTTAAGGCCAAAAGCCAGGATATTGTGGATTGGGACAGCTAAAGATTAGAAGTCAGTCAAGTGGGAAAACAGATAAATTATCTGAAGATTTTCTTACTTTAATAGGCCATGAAAAGTGTACATGCAAAAGATAAGCAAATACCTATTTTGTTTTTTCCATAATAGCTCAAATTTTGGGGCCCAGGGCATTCTTAGCAAGTTTTGATTTGTAATTTCTTTTTTTATTAATAACTTATCTGCCTTTCCTCCCTTCTTCCTTCCTTCCTTTTTTTAAATTGCCCTGAGTATCACATAGTATTTTTAGCTGTTGTTTTACTTTTAGGGACCTGTTAGCCTTAGCCCTAAGTAATGCATACTTCACTCAGAGTAAGCAATTTTGAAATCAGCAACTATTATTAAATTCATCTCAAAATTTTGTTCCAGTGTACACCCCCATTGGCAATGTATGAGACTGTTTTCTGTCTACATTCTCAATGGGTAGTGTCAAGTTTTTATTGACATTTTTGCCATCCTGATAGAAGAAGGTTGTGTGTCAGTGTTAATTGGTTGTATTTTCCTGATCAGTAGTGAGGTTAAGCATCTATTCATATCTCACATAAAGTTTTCAATATTTGTGCCGTCCATCCAATATTCTAGATATTTATATATTTAGTTCCTTGCTATATATTTAGTTTATATTTAGATATATATATTTAGTTCCCTAAGAAAATTTATCTGCATAAATAGCAGAAATTGTATAAAATCAAAGGTTAAAACACTAAATTGTTTTTCATTGGAAAAAAACAAGGGCAGTACAGTGACTATTGACAAAGTACAAAAAGATAAAAGGACTGAGAGACAAAAGCAATTTGTCTTCAAGGGTTAAGAGCAAATCCCTCTAGGCCTTGTAGTGTTAATTGTTTTGTGTAAGGGCTGGGCTTTGATTAGTTGCTTGTTACTTCATCAGCCCTTGGTTAGCCCCTGCGGAGATCACTGAAATGGCATTGTTATGGATTCTCTGAACCAGAGATAACCTGGTTGCTTCTCTTTAGTTTTACTCAGTTTCTGAAGATTTTTGTGCAGTTTTACAATCCAAGAGGTTGGTTATATTTGCATAAATAGTATACAAATAATAATATTGTTACTCTTTTTCCAAAGTATCTTTATGCATTCAGTATTGTTCCTATGAAACTAATGGATGCAGCAGAACTGGTAAAACAGCCTCCAGATGTCACTGAAAACCCTTACAGAAAATCTGGGAAGGAAACATTCACAGAAAAGCAAACTCCTGCCCCTGAGGTGGGTTCTGATTCAGAGGTGACATTTTCTAGGCATGATTACCCATTATAGGTGTCTTTTCCCTGGTTATAATTTAGTTCATAAGGCAACTTTATTTTTTTTTTTTTTAATTAATTAATTAATTTATTTTTTTTTTTTTATCACAACCATAGTGTATTTTTTTTTTTTTTTTTTTAACATGTATTCCCCATCACGGTCCCCCCTCCCACCTCCCTCTCCACCCAATCCCTCTGGGTCTTCCCAGTGCACCAGGCCCGAGCACTTGTCTCATGCACCCAACCTGGGCTGGTGAACTGTTTCACCCTAGATAATATACGTGTTTCAATGCTGTTCTCTTGAAACATCCCACCCTCGCCCATAAGGCAACTTTAATCCCTAGAACCTTAATCTCTTTTTCTCTCCTTTGGGAAATTGTGGTGGTGATTAGAAAGCCTTAGTAGATTTCCAGTAGGATTAATGTGTGTGTGTACATTTAATTGTAGTTTGGGGTTAACAGTTTTATATTTTAAGTCTTTCAATGTCTAAAGTTGGTTCAAATATTAGGTTACACATATAAAATCTTTCCTGTCTAAAGTTAATTCCCTGTTCCTAACTTTTCAGGCAAGGATCCAACTGCTTGTTAGCAATGTAATTTGTTATTTTATAATGAGTGGTAGGTCAGGAAGCAACAGTTAGAACTGGACATGGAACAACAGACTGGTTCTAAATCAGGAAAGGAGTATGTCAAGGCTGTATGTTGTCACCCTGCTTATTTAACTTACATGCATCATGAGAAACACTGGGCTGAATGAAGCATAAGCCAGAATCAAGATTGCCGGGAGAAATATCAATAACCTCAGATATGCAGATGACACCACCCTTATGGCAGAAGGCGAAGAGGAACTAAAGAGCCTCCTGATGAAAGTGAAAGAGGAGAGTGAAAAAATTGGCTTAAAACTCAACATTTAGGAAACTAAGATCATGGCATCTGGTCCCATCACTTTGTGGCAAGTAGATGGGGAAACAATGGAAACAGTGACAGACTTTATTTTGGGGGGCTTCAAAATCACTGCAGATGGTGACTGCAGACATGAAATTAAAAGATGTTTGCTTCTTGGAAGAAGAGTTATGACCAACCTAGACAGCATATTGAAAAGCAGAGACATTACTTTGCCAACAGAGGTCCGTCTAGTTAAAACTATGGTTTTTCCAGTAGTCATGTATGGATGTGAGAGTTGGACTATAGAGAAGGCTGAGTGCAGAAGAATTGATGCTTTTGAACTGTGGTGTTGGAGAAGACTCTTGAGAGTCCCTTGGACAGCAAAGAGATCAACTTGTCCATCCTAAAGAAAATCAGTCCTGAATATTCATTGGAAGGACTGATGCTGAAGCTGAAACTCCAATACTTTGGCCGCCTGATGCGAAGAACTGACTCATTTGAAAAGACCCTGATGCTGGGAAAGATTGAAGGCAGGAGGAGAAGGGGACAACAGAGGATGAGATGGTTAGATGGCATCACCAACTCAGTGAACATGAGTTTGAGTAAACTCTGGGAGCTGGTGATGGACAGGGAGGCCTGGTGTGCTGCAGTCCATGGGGTCGCAAAGAGTCAGACACGACTGAGCAACTGGAACTGAATTGAACTGAATGAGTGGTAGTAGGTCAATAAGATTTACTCTGAAGAGATTTCTTAATAGCAGACTTTTCTGAAATTCATTTTCCCTTCACTCAAGCAAGGAATGTCAAGTTCCCTTACTAGTATGAATGGTCTGCTTTCTTAGACTTTCTTTATGAGCAGCCTTTTATTTTTTTTAAATTAAAACTCAGTTAAAGTTGTTTGATCTGTGAAATTGTAAGACTACTACAGCCCTACTGAGAGAGGGAAAGGGATTTGGGTGGGGTCATGCTATTGTGTTTTAGGCAAGAATTGCTGTATAACTTACATTTTAATTCGCTTTTCCAAAGGGATGAATTTGGTGGTAGCTTAGATAAGTGTTGAGAGGTGTGACTGAGTCCAGGCATCAGGACTGAGAAACTATTTTGCTTCTCTAGATTAGGCAGAAAGGGCTGGGAGGAAGGTAGCAATGTTCCCTTGTGTGTGATGGTTGGCTACTTGCTTAAAGGTTAGTTTAATAACATTTACTTTTCTCTTGGCTGTTCCAGGAAGAATCAGCCTGCCAGTTTTTCTTTGATGTAAATGAAAAGCAGGGAAGGAAGCGGTCATCTATAGGCAGAGACAGCAAGTCTTCGCCTCACCCAAAGCAGCCTCGCAAACCTCGTAAGTACCTTGGTTCCTGAGGTCTCTTCTATGGGCAGTACTGGTTATTTTGGGTCTTGTTTGGGAAGCAGCATTGCTCTAAGGGCCTCTTCTGGCAGAAGATTAATAATAAAAACAAAAGGTTGCAAAGATGGCCTGACTTTGACACTGTCTGAGGCTATTTCTGTAAGAACTATGGAAAAAGTTCCTTTCCTTCATGTCTGTAAAACAGAAGGTTAAGAGCCGACAAAACCAGTGCAGGTTTATAAAATAATAACCAAAATGTTAGCAAAGACAGCTGTTAATACACTGAGATCTTCTTTTCCACCCACTTGTTTCAAAGATGAAGAAGTTGACATTGTAACTCCTGGGGTCACCTGACTAGCTGGTGGCATGACTGGAACTAGAAATGGGGCTCCAGACACCCAGTTGAATGTTCTCTTATTGCGGTCAGTTGCCAGTTACATGCTATGGTTATCACTTGTAAATCACCCACCTGTGGACTGGTTACAAATTCAGAACGTCTATAGACATTTAGTTTCATTGATAATGGCGATGGGGGCGGGGGTCATGGTGGGAGCACAGCAGACCCACTGTGGCAGTAGTGTGTACATACAGTGTTTGCAGGACATAAAGATCAGACAAGGCTGAGTTCTGTCGGTGGTTATGTGCTGTAATGCTTGGACCATGGTAACATTTGTCTTTCTTCCACGTGAAGCTCAGCCTCCAGGACCCTGCTGGTTTTGCCTTGCCAGCCCTGAAGTGGAAAAGCATTTGGTGGTCAACATTGGCACACATGTGAGTTCCATGAACCTCTTGCAGAGAGGAAGACACCTGTTTCTTTTCTGTTGACTTTATGGAGTCATGGTTTACATATAAAATTTACCTACTTTAAGTGTGCGATTCAGTGACTTTTAGTAAGCTTCCTGATTGTACAGCCATCACATAATATAGGTTTAGAACATGTTCATCACTTCAGTAAGGTTCCTCAGGCCCGTTTCCCATTAATCCCCACATCCACCCTCAGTTCCTGGAAACCACTCTGCTACTTTGTTTTCATTTCTGTCTGGATATTTCCTATAAATGGAATTGTACAACATCTTTGCATCTGGCTTCTTTTACTTAGCATAATATTCTTCTTACTCATGTTGTAGCATGTATCAGTTTTCCATTCCTCCTTGTCAAATAGTATTCCATTGTATGGATAGACTACATTTTTTTCTATTTATTCATTAAATGGACATTTGAGTTGTTTCCCCTTTATGGCTGCTAGTGAATATTTGCATACATGTCTTTGTGTAAACATGTATTTTTCCTCTTGGATAGCCCTAACCTAAGAAGTGGAGTTGTTTGTAATTTTATGTTTAACTTTTTAAGAAACTGCCAAACTATTTTTCAAAATAGCTGCACCATCTCGTTTTCCCATCAGCAATGTATGAGAGTTCTTGTTTTTCTACATCCTTCCCAACATTTGATATTTTCTATCTTTTTGACCATAGCAACTATAGCAATTCTTTTGTGGTTTAGTAGAATCAGTTTCACAAGATTCCTCCTTCTTTCCCTCCTCTCTGACAAATAGGTATGGCTTTCCTAGGGTGGTGCTTTTATGAAATTCTTGAACTTTATATGTTTTTATTCCATACTATTTGGGGATGATGAGTTGCTTTTTTGAATTACCACTTGAAACAAAGATTTTTCTTTGTCCCTGAAAAGGAGTCCTCTGTTGCCTATACACTCATATTTGGCAAAAAATGTTCATATCCTTTTTTTGTATCTTCAGATTTTAAAACTTGAGTTTATTAATTTTTATCAATAGTAACTATGTAATGTTGAGAACTGATTTACACTAATTATAAAAGACTAAAGTGATTAAATTCTCAGTTTTGCCTAGTAGTAGAGGATATAGCTTTCTGATGACAGGAAGACTCACATCCACATTTCTGCTCTGGGTATCTGGGAACCCAAGATGATAATTGTAAGATTGCTGGGTAAGCACTGAATCAGACTATGACAACTGGATGATCTTGAGAAGGATTTTATTCAGGCAGTGGAAAGTTCTGATGGACTACGTGTGTCTCACTGTAAAGTCATCCTATTTCAGACTTCCCCAAATACTTTTCCTTGGGCGTGACTTGCTTAGATATTAAATAATACTTGTTTTTGACCCCCATTCTTCTGGGATCCATATAGACCATTATCCTTCTTTTTCATTCACTTAGAATGAAAAGAAGCTTAATTTTTAGAGTTACAGTTGCACCCTAGTCACCCATGACTAAAATGGCTATTTTCCAAGGCTCCTGAGGATAATATATACAGATCATTTCGTAGTGTGTGATTCTTTCTCAGGCAGATACTTTCATCCATTTTTCATTGATTTATTCTGATTTTGTTTCCTGGGGATAAGCTTTTTTTCCTCAGCTTATCCTGATAATGAGGGCCTTTTTACTATGAGCCTAGGGGACTTTCAAGGAAAACTCTTTGCTTCTTATCTTGACCTGAAGTTAGAAGGGCAAAAAGCATATCAGATTTTGATTGTGGACCAAATAGGAGGTCACATGATGATTTTAGCTTAGAGCTTACCTATCAATCAAGTTTACCCTTACCTGTACTGTCCTTTGTTGGTAGAAATCTCTTGCGAATGTCTGGTGACCTATGGGTATCTGGCTGAGGACTTGGAGTCCCCTGTCTGCAACCACTCCTTTTGATCCCCTTTTGTTGGGGTCCTTTAATGGACCGGAACCTGGTGGTACAGAGTCGACGATAAAAAAGTAAAAGAGAGAAAGAGAGAGAGACAAAAAAAGACCCGGGGACCTAAGCTCTGATGGAGCAAAGGTGCTTTAATGATTTTTCTATGAGTATATATAGGCTGTGGTACAAGAAACTTCTTTCGGGAATGATAGATATTAGAAAACCAAACGTACCACAACCGTTACCAAGGGAACAAGGGGTAATGTTAGTCACAAGGTCAGGAGACAATCCATATCTCAAGAAAGGGGAACGAGACTAAGCAGTTTTGTCCTAAAGAGAATGTTTACTAAAGGAGACCCAAGCCTGCCTCACACAATGACCTCAGTCCCTGGGAGCAGCGTGCTGTTCCGCTTGAAGAGGGACAAAGGACTCATGAGAGACAGCACGTAGGAATCCTCTCGTCAAACATTCCCTGACACCCTTTCATTACTTTTCCCCTGGCTTTTCTCTGTTGTTGCCATGCCTTCCCAGAGAAGGAAATGGCAACCCACTCCAGTATTCTTGCCTGGAGAATACCAGGGACAGAGGAGCCTGGTGGGCTGCCATCTGTGGGGTTGTGTGGAGTTGGACACAACTGAAGCGACTTAGCAGCAGCAGCAGCCATGCCTTCTTCAAGGGGTATACACAGAAGTATGCTAATGACCCATGGGTTTAGATTGGTAAAAGCAGATGCAGACTGCTAAGAGTCCAGAATAGGTACTGCAAAATCCATGCATTTATGGGAGAAATACTCTTTCAGGTCCTTCTTATATAGATAAAATTAGAGATGAATTCAAGTGCAGCACAGATTAGATGTTGAGAGTTTGAAAAGCAGGGAGGAGACTAGGCAAGTTTGAAATGTCACAAAAACTAGAAGGTACTGCCTTAGGGGTGCTGTTTAGACTAGAAGCCTTCAGTAGCTTCAAGGCACATCACAGTATAAAAACTGCCATTTATGGCAGTAATCCTCTGACATAAAGGCTAGAAAATGTAATTTTCTAGAGTAATCTTTTAAAACAAACACAATCACAGTGGTTACTGTACTTTTTTTTTTTTTTTTACTGTTTTAGTGCTTATGAGGTTTTGATGAACTTTAGTCATCTGGTATATTAACTCTGTAGATGCGTTCAATCCTCTGTGCCAAGGAGATCAAGGATGATAATGCCTTAGTTTGTTGCTGTTACCTATCTTGTCTTTCTGTTGGACTTTCTCAGTGTAGATGAAAAATGAATGGCTCTTTCCTTCAGTCTTAACTTTGAATGAACCACACTAAAAATATACTTTGGATTGTTTTTCTACAGCTCTGGTACCTTCATTTGCCTGGGCCTTTCTCTGCTCTCTTCCCTTCAAAGTATGTCTGAGTGGCAGAACAGTCTTGTGTGTTTGGGTTTTGACAGAAATATTTTTAGTTCCTGTTTAGCTGTCGACAGCCATTGCTGGGAACCATAGTTTTCTTTGGATGTACCTGAGTTTGAAATTTCTTCTTCCTTCCCTGTTAGGTTATGTTTGCTTTCATTTTGTAAAGGTCAGTCAGCAGCTTAAGGCTGTAGGGACATTGGAGGCTAATCATGTCATCTTAGCCTTTTTTGTGAACCCAGGAGGTGTACTTAGGGGTGTGATTAGGTGTCACTGTAGGGGAAGTGGTTCATTTGAAATCAGAAGTGGTTCCTTTGAAATCAGAAGTGATATCTTTCTGTGGCTGAGAGTGATAGTCACTGGAAAATTGTTAAATTGTTTCAAGTTTAGATCCTGGGAGGAAAAAGGAAGTTTGTTGTTCTAGTCTCCTTCAGCTCTGGTGTGTTTGTAGCCAAAAGCCAGTCTTGTGTGCTGCTCATTTTTCCCCAGTTCATTTGATAGTTGCATAGAAATTTGTTGCGTTTAACCTCACTCTTTAGCAGGTACTTGACAACAATGTTGTCATAACCTCTAAAATCAGATTTTTTTTAAAAGGAGAAGTTCTGCTGGTAGGCTCTGGCACACTTTCCCCACACCCTCGCAGCTCACACTTTGTAGAAGCTTTTCTCTGAAGAATCACACATGCAGTATTGAAGTCTCACTTCTGTGTGCTTCCTCTTCAGTGCTACCTTGCCCTGGCCAAAGGAGGCTTATCTGATGACCATGTCCTCATTCTGCCCATTGGACACTACCAGTCAGTGGTGGAGCTTTCAGCAGAGGTGGTGGAAGAGGTGGAGAAGTACAAGGCTACATTGAGAAGGTTCTTTAGGAGTCGAGGCAAACGATGTGTTCTATTTGAGAGAAATTATAAGAGCCATCACCTGCAGCTACAGGTATGTGATCTCTGTCCAAGAGCTTGGAAGGGCCTGGATATTGATAAATATTTAAATAATGTTAATTTTTTTGAAGTATAGTTGACTTACAATAGTGTATTAGTTTCACATGTACAGCAAAGTGATTCAGTTCATGTATATATATATATAAGATATTATTTTCCATTTATAGGTTATTACAAGATATTGAATATAATTCCCTGTACTAGGTTCATCTATTTATGTTGCTGCAAATGGCAACAGTTCATTGTTTTTCATGACTGAATAATATTCCATTGTGTATATATACAACATTTTCTTAAGGCAGTTGTCTGTTGATGGATGCTTGGGTTGTACTGTAAATTGGTGCAGCTGTTATGGAAAACAGTATAGAGGTTTCTCAAAAAGCTAAAGATAGATCCTTTGATCCAGCAGTCTCATTCCTGGGTATATGTCCAGAAAAGATGAAAACTCTTAATTCAAAAAAACGCATGCACCCCAATTTTCATAGCAGCACTATTACAACAGCTAAGACATAGAAACAATCCAAGTGCCCATCAACAAATGTTAATACTCAATTTTAATAATATTTAAGTATTTGATTCTAATATAAGATTAAGTATTTAAATAGTTGACATAATACTTCAAAAAATTTAGTATGAACTTTCATATTAATATTTAAATAATATTCATTTAAAAGGTTATAGTTTCTGGCGATAACTCTAGGGACTTCACAGGGAAGTACATAGTCAGCACAACTGAATAGCACAGGTAGTTAAGTGCCTTGTTGAGAAAAGAAATGGATAGTTCAGGAAGGTTCCAAGAAAGATTTGGGCCTTGACAGATAAGAGTTTGGTAAGAGACTGGGTATTTTGTGTGACGCTTAGCATGAGTGACAGCTCACAGGTAGGAAGCAGTCTCAGGTCTTGCCTGGGGCTACCAGCTCAGAAATTCAGAGACTGTTATGGGTAATTTGATTGTCATTGTGGTGGTTTTCTTTCTGGCACATTTGTTAAGTTTTCAAATGGGCCTGACTCTGCCACATATATTATATAGGAGCTGGCAAAGGCTTGATGACAAAGAGATCTCTTTCTAGCCTTTTCTGCATCAGAGATGGCCTCCCACATGTGAAAGGCTGTCTCATAAGTTTAAGTCCTTACAGACAGGATGACATAGCCTGTCTGGCCTGAGGAAAATGTCTGCTGAGGGGCGTTCCTCCACCCCTGTGATGGATTTGCTACATCTCAGAGACTGTACGGGAGGCACAACCTCTCTGAGACCTGTACAAAGCATTTCTCCTGTCTCCTCCACCCCGCTCCCCCGCCTTCCCCAGGTCATTCCTGTGCCACTCAGCAGCTGTGCTACTGATGACATTAAAGACGCCTTCATCACTCAGGCACAGGAACAGCAGATAGAGCTCCTGGAAATCCCAGAGCACTCAGACATCAAGCAGGTAAAACAGGAGAGGAAGGTGATATTCCAGGAGAGATACTGGGTTTCTAGCCTATAGAGCCTGAGGTACTCAGAGACATTCAATAAATGTTAAATAGGCAGGTGACAATTTGGTACTCGAGCATGGGGTATTGATTAGACTAGAGATGAAGATTATATTATAGCAGTTCCTTGGTGCTTTCCCGGGAAGGGCAAGAAATTGGAAATTTCCTAAGGCAGGAACTTAGGGAGGTAGGTGCCACTGGGAGGATCTTTGTAATATCTGCCAGTGGCTTTTTAAACTTTAGTTGTGTTAAAGTTCTTGTACTTCTAAATTCTTTGCCAAATTAAAGCTCGTAAGAGATGGGCTGGGATTTTTGATGTTTAAAGAACTACTACATGTCCTCATATGACTCTGTTTACTGTAGATTGCACAGCCAGGAGCAGCATATTTTTATGTTGAACTTGACACAGGAGAGAAACTTTTCCACAGAATTAAAAAGAATTTTCCTTTGCAGTTTGGAAGGTTTGTATATTTTTCTTATTTTAAATGTGTTTTCACTAACCTACTCTGAATAAAGTAGTGGACTGCATTACGAGTTAAATAAAAAGCCAAACAAGAAATAGTCCTTGCCCTAAGGAACAAATAGTCTTAGGGCAAGTCAGGTACTTACGTATATGACAGTAATGTAATGTAGAATGTGGAAAGTACCATAAAAAAGTTTTGAGGAACAATGTACTGTAGAAATCCAGAGAAGGGAGAGCCCATTTCTGCTTGATGGAAGGCATCATGAAAGGGCTGAAGTTGAGCCTGGGAGAGAGATTTAGAGGGTAAACTCTGGTGCATAGGCATTCTAGCCCAAGGGAGGAAAATGCTACCATGAACATGTGCTCTGTGCCAGGCACTGTGCCAAGAACTTGCCATGCATTACCTCATTTAATCTTCTAAACTCTGTATGGTAGGTACTGTCATCCTAGTTTACCAGTCTGGAGAATGAGACTCGGGAGGAGTGACCAATAGAACTTTCCATGATGATAGACATAGTCTATAAATCTACACTGTCCTACACAGTAATCCCCAGCCCCATTACTAGTGATTACTGAGCACTTGAAATGTGGCTAATGTGACTGAGAAACTCAATTTCATTTAATTAATTGTGATTAAATTTAAATGTATTAGGCTACTGGCTTCATTGGGCTTCCCAGGTGGCTCAGTGGTAAAGAATCTGCCTATGCAGGAGTTGCAGGAGATGTGGGGTTTGATCCCCTGTTGGAGGAAAAGGCAACCCACTCCGGTATTCTTGCCTGGGAAATCCCATGGATGGAAGAGTCTGGTGTACTACAGTCCATGAGGTTGCAAAGAGTTGGACATGACCGAGCATGCAGGCACATTGCACGGTGGCTTTAGTAATGGACAGTGTGGCTCTAGAGTGGTGAGGTAGCTTGTCCATGGTCACAGTGACCTGGCCTGCTGGACCCCAAAATTGAGGTCTTAACTCATTGCTCTGTGGTGAGCAATTTGGATGAGGCTTCATTTCTGTTCTCACATCATGGAGAACATGACTGCAGAACTGTACAGGGAGTGGTATAAATTAGGCAGAGACGGAAGGCAGGAATTTGCTGGCAAGAAGAGATTATGGAGGGTAGTTGGAAGAATGTGCAGGACAGATTATCTGGTGCTGGTGTCTGCTTTGCAGTGGTTTTTTTCCCCCTAGTTAGAACTGAGCTTTGAATCAACCTTGAACCATTCTTGGGCCAATTTGGAAAGCCTCTAAGAGACTGTCGCCAGTAGATAAGTCTAGTAAATGTAGTAGTCTACATTTTCAAAGAAGATAATAAATGAGAAAAAATGTATTAGGAACTTCAGACATCTGACATTATCTTTTGTGTTGTTGATTCAGCAGCAGACACAGGTTTAGATACTGATGGCACACGCATGTAAGCTTACAAAGGAGAGATTCTTTGAATGATTTTATGTTCCTGATAGTTGTATTTTTAACACTGAGTATTTTTCAGAGTAGTAACTTACAGGTGATAGTGAAAGTGTTAGTCATTCAGTCATGTCTGACTCTTTGCCACCCCACGGACTGTAGCCTGCCAGGTTCCTCTGTCTATGGGATTTTCCAGGCAAGAATAGATCAAACCTGCGTCTCCTGTGTCACCTGCATTAGCAGGCAGATTTTTTACCATCTGAACCACCAGAGAACATAGCATTTTATAGTTATCAAAATACTTGAGAAGACATCTTTTTTTTTTCCTGCTGTATAAGAAGGGTGGGTCTATCTTCATTCTACAGATGAAGAGATAGGCTCATAGTCTGCCCAGAGAATAAGAACTTGAACTTAGGTCCTTTGACTTTTGGAAGACTCTGTGATTTGTTTTTAGCCTTTCTATTTACTGTAGCTTCAAAGTGGAAAATGAACCAAACAAATGTACAAACAGGATTATTTCTAATATATCAAAATAAATAAAAATAGAAAGCAGTGGCATTTAGAAGATAGCTTGTGTGAGAGGTTTTGTTGACATTGAGCATGTGGTATTGTGCCTGTATAGACTTGAGGGCACTAGAAAGAGGCAGAAAGTCAGATTGGGGTATGATACTAGGTGCCTGACTTTTCACCATGCCCTCAGCACATTAATGGCCTGAGATAACAAAACTAGAGTTTAAGGCAGGATGTAATTACAACTAGTTTGGTGCTTTGATTGTGTTATCTTCATACATCGGAAAATCCTTATTTTGCATCTCATAGGCGAGGAAATTAAGACACAGAGATGAAGTAATCTGTTCTTAGCAAACGGCAGAGCTAGGAATGGAATCCAGTCTCTGATTTTTCTGATTGCAGGGCCTGCCCCCTTTCTACTGTCATGTTGATTCATGTAACTACGTTATGTACCAGTAACGTAGTTCCAGGTTGTTCAGAGGAGTAAATAGAATTTGAGGGGTTAGAGAAGAGCTGAGACCTGGGCTGGTCAGTTTAAAACAGATGTGATTTTGATAGAATGGCAGAGATAGCCCTCAAGGAAGAGAACATGGTATGAGCAAAGTTAGAGGAATTTGCATACCTTTTTTGGGTGATGCTGAGCAGAGCTCTCTGGCTGGAGAGGAATTGAAGGTTTTGGACTGATACTGTCCATTTTTACTTCTTTGTGCTCTTTTTGCAGGGAGGTCCTGGCTAGTGAAGCTATCCTTAATATTCCTGACAAGTCTGACTGGAGGAAGTGTCAGATCAGTAAGGAAGAGGAGGAGACTCTGGCTCGCCGCTTCCGGAAAGACTTTGAGCCCTTTGACTTCACTGTGGATGATGACTGAGCAAAGGGAAAAAGCACCTTATGAACTTCACAGGATATAATAGCAGCCTATTTTTTAAGAAACAAGTCTCCCATGGGGACTGTTTCCCTGCCTCTTTTTTGTGTATTCCCATGGAACCTGCCTGTAGCAAGAGGCCTAAGATTGAATATTTTTGGGGAAAAGTCATACTTTAGGATGAAGATCTTATAGCGTATCTGTCATCCAGTTCCAGGTAGAGCTTATGCTTGTCAACATTTTCAAAAATATTTAAACTGTTATAAAATCCAAATGCTTTTTCATGGTTGGGAAGTGTCTTGTGTTCATTACCTGTAACTATTGAAATGAAGTAGTGTGTGTGTGTATAGTAGGAGGGGCCAGGGCTTTAGGTCCAGCTGTTATCCCAGGATCTCACAGGTGCCTTCTTACTGAGCAACCCAGGATGGAGAAGCGACCCAAGGCCTTTGCCATTTTCCCCTTATAGAATTCATCTTAGTGATAGAAAAGAACTCATTCAGTCCTTCAGCAAATACTTAACTCCTCTGTACTAGACATTTTTCTAGACTCCACGAGTATAGCCATGTCCCAACATGATTCCTGTTGTCCCCGAGTTTACAGTCTAATTGGGAAGAGAAGGGGCAAGATTTTTAAAAAGATGAGTTCTCCTTTACCAAGAAGTGAGCTTTAGTTGCTGTTTGATAGTTACAAATTCAAGGCGCTCTGGATTGCTGATAGGGTTTGGGGGCTTATCAGGATATAGGCCACACGTGAAGTTAAGAGAATGGATGAAAATAGATAGGATGAATACAGTTATAAGAAGACTACCTGAGAAATATCAGTATTTAAGGAGTGCCTGGAAATCGAGTGATCCAAGAAGTACATGGAAAAAGAGCAGAGAGGGATTGATCATAAGAGAATGCCTTATCTTAGAAGCCAAAGAAAAATAACTGCTCCTATATACTGGACACTTACGGCCCAGACACTCTTACTTAACTCTCATAAGATAGCTATGAGGTAGGTATTATTACCTCTGTTTTACATATAAAAAAACAAGCTGGCAAGCTTGAAGAGGATGGAGTGTGAAGGTAACCAGCCAGGATTTTTTTTTTTTTAATTCAGAAAAACCTCAAAAAGTGAACTATAGGAAACAACCCAGTTCCTGCAAAGATGGCCACTTAAGGGTCTTCAGCAGCCCTTCATAGCTCTTCCAAGTAAGAATTATGGGATTTTGGCCCTACCTATGGCTATCAGCAGAGAAGGCAATGGCACCCCACTCCAGTACTCTTGCCTGGAAACTCCCATGGACGGAGAAGCCTGGTAGGCTGTGGTCCGTGGGGTCAGTAAGAGTCAGACCCGACTGAGCGACTTCACTTTCACTTTTCACTTTCATGCATTGGAGAAGGAAATGGCAACCCACTCCAGTATTCTTCCCTGGAGAATCCCAGGGACGGCGGAGCCTGGTGGGCTGCCACCTATGGGGTCGCACAGGGTCGGACACGACTGAAGTGACTTAGCAGCAGCACGGCTATCAGATACACTCCAGAGCCAGATGCTGCCCACTTAGCAAATGAGTACTTCATTCTGTTTGAATAGTCTGTCACAATCTGTGTAGTCTGCCCAGGTATAAGGGACATGCTTTTGGCGGTACTGTGTACCACCTTCAAGTCTGATGCTCCAACTCCATGACTAGCAAGCATATATGGGAAATCAGAATTTTGGATACTACACACAGGTTACTGGTGAGCTACTATACAACATGGTTTGTATCTTACAGTGTTTAACATCCTGGTTGTGATATTCAGGGATTTTGGGGACAACAGACAGTTGCTATAACAATGTCCATTCAATGCTTTCAAAACAGCAGCAGTGCTGTGGTGCACCTACTGTATCCACCTTTAGAAGTCTCAACATGCTACATTTCTAGTGGCAGTCAGGTCCAAAATGTTAGCTGAATTCTGAGTTAACAGCCCAGGCTGCACAAATGATGGTCCAAGTGCACATAATCCCAAAGGAGGGTCAAATGACCAGGCTTAAGGTCACTCTCACTTAGAGAATTTGATTCCATGCTGATATGCTGATATACCTTGGAGTGATTGATGAGATCCTCAACTTCCATGAAGCATACAACCAACTCAAAGCGAAAATGTGGAGTTGGCGCCCCTATTCTAAATAGGCAGTCTGCCACTCAGAAGCACTTACTGTTGCACCAATAGATATCGGAAGCTTGCCTCTGCAACTCTGCCTTGCGTGTGGGAAACAATTCCCACAATGAGGAACTACCGTGCTGGCAAACCCACAACTGGAGGTACTCCTGACAGCAAGCTCCGTGAGGCTTTTAGGGAAAAGCTCCCTAAGTCAGGCGGAGCCTTCTTTATCCCGGAACAGCGTCACATCCTTGAGTTGTTTGGGGTTATAGGGAGATCCTAGAACAGGTGCATACGAAGTCATTTAAGAGAAGAAAAGTGAACTATGAAGCCTAATGCATCAGCGGGCCTGTTAGCGCAGAATTCTTTCTAGTTCTTAGGCTTTCGCAATATTTAAATCCTCGGTGGCCTTTATCAGTGGCAGCTCAGCGGGTGGTGGGGCTGGAGGAAAGCTCTGAAAAAAGGTGAAGCGTAGACTGGGGTGGCTGTTGCTGCTGCTGCTAAGTCGCTTCAGTCGTTTCCGACTCTGTGCGACCCTATAGACAGAAGCCCACCAGACTCCCCCGTCCCTGGGATTCTCCGGCAAGAACACTGGAGTGGGTTGCCATTTCCTTCTCCAATGCATGAAAGTGAAAAGTGAAAGTGAAGTCGTGTCTGACTCAGCGACCCCATGGACTGCCACCCACCATGCTCCTCCGTCCATGGGAGTTTCCAGGCAAGAGTACTGGAGTGGGGTGCCATTGACAGGGGTGGAGACAACCTTAAGTTTAGAAAAGACGAATACGGCAAAGACTGGCTTGGAAAGTGATTTTAAGGGAATGGTTTGGAGAGCTTATATTTTTGAAGACTGGAAAAACACATGTGGGTTTTCTCACCTACGAAAATGCCTAGGGAACTTTTTGAGAGAGGGGATTGAAAGTACCCACCTTCTTCCCCACCGTTTCGCCGGCGGGGCGCGGAGCGGGCTTTTTTGCTGCCCCATTACCGGAAATGACGCTTACATCTCGCGAGAAGAAAGACGAGCGAGCCTCTGCGGCCCGGAACCGGCCTCGAAACAGTGGCGGAACCTCAGGCCGCTCGCCCTCCCGCCCCATGGAGCGGCCCCCGGGGCTGCGGCCGGGCGCGGGCGGGCCGTGGGAGATGCGGGAGCGGCTGGGCACTGGCGGCTTCGGGAACGTCTGCCTGTATCAACATCGGGTGAGGCGGGGCGCGCGAGGGAGCGGCGGTGGGTGTTTGTCAGGGCGCCTATGGAACACAGTGCCTGTCAGTACGTGAGAGATTGTCGGTGAGACCTTGGGCAGTGTTGTGGGCCTGTGAGGCTCAATATGTGTCTGTGTATGTGAGAGAGAGAGAGAGAGAACAGAGGACGGATTGTATTTGTGAGCCTGGCGATTGAGTCCGAGGTTTATCCGAGGTCCTGGGGCAGTGTGTGAGAGAGAGCTATTAGGGAGAACTTATGACTGTCAAGATGTGTTTACAGAGCGTGATGGTACGTACGTGTCCCTCTGAATATAGAGTCAGGGTGTGGTGTGGGAGGTACACACATATCAGAGTGTGTATTGTGAGCACAAGTGGGTGAGAAGATGGGGCTGAGGAGGGGCTGCCTGTTGGAATGTGTGTGTTTTTTGTGTGTGCTTGCAGGCCTTGTGATGTCTGTAGGGCCTGGAGTAGACAAGGACGGTGTCATAGTGGGTCCGCAGTCAAGCTTTTGGTTTCATTGTGTAGGCTTTGGAATTGGGGATGCGTTCTAAGCAGGGAACAGCTGGTGAAAATGATCGTGGATTCACAAGGGGAGGGGAGGAGATAGATTGAGGGTGAGGTCCTCTAGCAGGTGGAAGACAGTTAACATTAGACTCGGAAATTGTGCTTCAATTTAACTGAGAATAACTGAAAATATCTAACCATTGTAGCAGCATTTAACAATCATATGTGAGCCAGTCTTTTCATATACCAATAAAAGTTATGAACCTTTTCCCCAGACAAATGCACAGATGCACACTCATACAGCCTTATGCATTGCCATTTGAGGGGGTCCATGCTCTCTTGAGGGCTTCCCAGGTGGTGCTAGTGGTAAAGAATGCACCTGCCAATGCAGGAGACAGAAGAGACACGGTTTGACCACTGGGTCAGAAAGATCTCTTGGAGGAGGAAATGGCAACCCACTCCAGTGTTCTTGCCTGGAGAATCCTATGGACAGAGGAGCCTAGTGGGCTATAGTCCATAGCGGGGCAAAGAGTTGGACACAACTGAAGAGACTTAGCACAGCACATGCTCTCTTGAAGGACATTCTCGGACCCATTAGCTTTATAGACCCTGGAACAATATTCCCTGCAGTATAGCTTTTATTTTATCATATGTAAAATGGTTATAATAATGTATATACATCATGAGTCTGAGAGTTAAATAAGATGTTTATAAGTGCCACGCCCATGGTAAGCTCGCAGATGTTAGCTCCTACTGCTGCTATGTTGTTGCTGTTGTCATCATCTTCATCATCATTAACTGATGTTAAAAAAAGGAAATGTCAAGATAAAAGTGGTGTTCTCGAAGATTTTTTATAAAAGGTAAATCTTTGTGGAAAAACATATAAGACAAGATGAACAGTTAAGCTGTTACTAAAATGCATTGGCCTATGACCTAAGAAGTGGATTCAAGAGGGGAAATCATGATTTGCTGTGCTAAGAAATATGGATGTGAGTAGAGAGCTCACAGCATAGGGAGAGAGATAGGGTAGATGGGAGTCTACCTGGGAGGATTAGGCTTGTTTGTGTGGCAGTTACAATGACAAATGTCACTGATATAACAGGAAATTATGTTTCTAGATAGAGCATAGGAGAGAGTCTTGGAAAGAGGGAGAAAGGAAGGTGAAGGACCAGACATTAAGTACTTTGACAGCCAGACAAGTAGTAAATTTAATAATTTTCACCATCAGACACAAGGCACTCAAAGAGTAAAGAGAAGGGGCCAAGTACTTCCAGCAGAATGTTGCCTGTGGCCTTGTTATCTGAACCTGCCCATCAGTCTGGTTATAAGAAAAAGAAGTTTGCATGCTCGCATGCTTATGTGACTGCTTTGCTTGGTGCCTGGCTGGGGATGAATGAATACATCAAATTAAAAAAAAATTGTGATGGAGTATATATAACATAAAAGTTACCATTTTAATCATTTTAAAGTGTACTGTTCAGTGACATTGTATGTTTACATTGTTGTGCAACAGCCACTGTCTATTTCCAGAATTTTTCATCTTCCCAAATTGAAACTCTGTACCCTTTAAACAATGAAAGAAAGAGCAAGTGTTAGTTGCTCAGTCCTGTCCGACTCTTTGCGATCCCACGGACTAAAGCTCACCAGGCTCCTCTGTCCATGGAATTCTCCAGGCAAGAATACTGGAGTGGGTTGCCATTCCCTTCTCCAGGAGATCTTCCCCACCTAGGGATCGAACCTGGGTCTCCTACATTACAGATGTAGGCAGATTCTTTACCATCTGAGCCTCCAGGACATGAGTCTTTAAATAATAATTCCTCCCTAATTTTCTCCTCCCCACATCCTCTGGCAGAGGATGTCTTTGGAATTCATCACTGTTTAAATGGAAGAGATTTAGCTTCCTCTAGAATCTTAGAAATCTCTCAGGAACTTTCCAGATGTTCACAGTGGCCCTTCCCCAGAACTAGGACATTTGACAACTGAGTCTGTAGTGAGAAGAGAAGAAATACTCTAGGTAAGACTTGGAAACAGTATCATTACTTTTCCAATTAGAGCTTTGAGTTTGGCTTTCAAGATCCTTGTGTTTTGGTGGAAGCCACATCTCAATATTTCATCTACCCCTCTTAAATCACAACGAGAAAGAGAAAAGGATGTGAGGTGGTTTATTTAACTGATTATTGGGTAGCTGACTGCAGATGGTACCAGAATCAACAAAAACAGTATTTTCTGCTCTCAAAGAATTTCAAGTCTAGTGAGAGAAGTAGACACAGAAACACTTTAAGTACAATGTGGTAACCTATATAATGAAGGTATTTGCAAAGCGATGTCGAAGCATGGTGAAATAACCAAAGAACTCTTCCTAGGATATAGGGTGGCACTTCGCACAATGTGTTTGGAAAAACTAATCTTGTAAAATGCTTTGAAAAAAGGATACTGTGGTCAATACATTCTATAAATGCTGCATATAATATTTCTTCATTTGGAGAGTCATAGCCCACAATAGTATATTAAAAGCTCTGTGAAGTCCTGTAGTAAAGAAACTAATAGAAACTAATTTAGCTTAGTATTTTCCAATCCTTCTCCAGGGGATCTTCCCAAACCCAGAAATCGAACCCAAGTTTCCTGCATTGCAGGCAGACGCTTTACCCTCTGAGCCACCAGGGAAGCCCCAAAATATACATAACATTTGCCATTTAGCCATCTTTAGGTGTACAGTTCTGTGGCATTAAGTACATTCACATTTTGTGCAGCCATCACCACCATTCATCTCCTGAATATTACTATTACCTTTTTTTTTAGCACCGAACTCTTCTTTTTTTGTTTTGCTGGACATGTGTAAACTTTCCATAGAGCATTCTCTGTGAAAAGGTAGAGTGAGAAACGCCTTCAAAGAGTAGCTGAAATATAAACTGAAAGGTTGAAGGATCCTGTAGGATGAAATCTTTTTGAAATAGATAGCTTTCTGCCTTACTCTTATGAGAATTTAGGACTTAATGTTGTTCATGGTTGTACCACATTGACTCCATAGTGGTAAAAACGTACACAGGACCTAGCAGCAGCTCAGTATCTACTCATGAGAGGTTGAGGGGAGGGAGGACACTGGTTAGGTTGGATTGTAGTCTGTCCTAGTTCCTTACTCTCTCTCTGCTGCTGCTCCTGTTAAGTTGCTTCAGTTGTGTCCGACTCTGTGCGACCCCATCCCTGGGATTCTCCAGGCAAGAACACTGGAGTGGGTTGCCATTTACTTCTCCAACTCTCTCTCTATACATCAGTTATCTTATTTCTTGCTCTCCCCCATTTCAGACCATCCTATACAAGTTGTGTCTTGCTTCCTGTTCCTGGGCTGCATTATTACTGTTGCCAGAATGTGATGAGGTCTGGCTGCTTCCTGTACTGTGCATCAGGTTGGGTTTAATTTCAGTTAGAATTGGCTAAATTACTAGTCATAGAGGCAAGAGCTGTTAGGTCCATTTTTTAGACATGGAAATATACAGCCATTGTTAGGAGTCTTTTAATGTCATTTGAAATGCAAAAATTAGGAAATAGTTTTGGAGTTTTTTTGTATTAGATTTGGTCATATTAAAACTATTTCTTACTGTTGAGGCAGGGAGCCCTGAATTATTCTCCACATTCTAGTTATGCTGGAACCTGGGGCCCTCTTTAGCTGTCTTGACTAAATTCAGAAAGGGGTTGTTGGGCAGACAGTCTTTTTATACTCTAGCAGCATGTATGAGATGGTGTTCTGAAGAGATCTTTTACAGGATCAGCCTCAGTAACTTTTTGCTTGTGTGCTTTGGTGTTTGAAGGTCAGTTTAAAAGCATTAGTTTAATAGTCTCATGGCTTACTTGGCAGAAGCATTGGCTCAAGAGAACTGTGGATACATATGTTTAGTTAGTAAAGCTAAGAGTTTTGTTTCCCCAAGTTGGCATTTCTTTGATAGCAAGTATATCTGCACAAGAACCTAATTTATAATCTTCTGTTGATTTTCTATTTTGGCAGGAACTTGATCTCAAAATAGCAATTAAGTCTTGTCGCCTAGAGCTAAGTACCAAAAACAGAGAACGGTGGTGCCATGAAATCCAGATCATGAAGAAGTAAGTGTACTTAATGACTTAAGTTTCCCCAGTTTTGCAACCCAGCCAGATGTCATCATAGGGAAGGGGGCTAGGAATCCATTCTTCTTAGGATCTTTTGGGGAACTTATTTTTCTCTTTCTCATTAAATATGTGTGTTTTATTTCAAGTAATAACATCACATCATGCTTAAGTAGGTTTTGTTTATATAGTTATCTAGGTAATGATAGTATAATACTGAAGAAAACCAAAAAGTCCTTCAGGGAACTTGGAGTTTTTTAGAGCATGAGCCACCATTTCCTTGCATGGCCCTGCTGTAAACCTTTCTCTGCTCCAGAAACAAAATAAAATGTCAGCTAGGTTTTATCAGACTCGGCTTTCCAAGGGCAGAATCTGTTTCTTTTGGGTCTCGGGCAGTGCTTATCTGTTATACTTGATAGTTAAATAGCAATCACTACTCTCATTTTTAAATTTTTTTAACTCTCACCTACTTTTGTTAAACAGTGTATCTATTGCTTTGTAAAAAATTATCCTTAAGCTTAATGGGTTAAAACAACAGAAGTTTGGTGTCTCACACTTTCTGTGGTTTAGGAATTTGGGAGTGATTTAGGTGGTTTTGACTCAAGAGATCCCTCCTGAAACATCTCAAAATGTTGACTGGGGCTGCAGTTATCCAAAGGCTTGAGTGGGGCTAGAGTATCCACTTCAAAGCTCATGTAGTGTCTGTTGGCTAGAGGCATTGGTTCCCCACCACATGTGCCTCTCTCTCCATTGGGAAATTTGAATGTCTTCATAACATAACAGTTAACTTTCCCCAAAGTCAGTGATCTGAGGGAGGGAGAGCAAGCGGACATATTTTTATGATCTTCCCTCAGAAGCTACACTTTATCCTTTCCAAATAATTTCTTATTTGTTAGAAATCAGTCACTAAATACAGCCTCTACTCCAGGGAAAGAGAATTAAGCTCTTGAAGGGAGAAGTGGCTATGTTTTAAAACCTCCACAGGTAGAGTGCTAATAAGGGTTTACCCATATCTTCTAGTTGTCACAGCAACCCTGTGTTTAGGCATTATCTCTTTGCTAAAGAAAAAGTTGAAGCTTATAGAGTCATACTACTGATAGATAATAGATCCTGGATTTGAAATAAGCACTTTTTGACTTCAGTGTTCTCAATGCATTTTAATGGTTCTCAAACTTGACTATGTGGAAGAATCACTAGAAAAACTTTTTAACAATACAAATCCTCAGGCTCTACACATGGAAATTCTGTTTCTTTAGGTCCCTGGGCCTGGGACTCTTATTCCAGTTTAGAGACCACTGTGTGATGATGATGGTGATATGATATATTACTAAGTTTAAAAAAATATGTTAGGAAACAATATATAATGTGATTCAATATTTTTGAAAAACATGTATTTGTACACAAGTTAAAACTTTTAAGCAAGTATCAATTTTTAATTATACAAATGAGAAATTAGAATATTATAAATAAAATCAGTCTTTCGTCCTCTCACTGCCCCCAATTAACTACAATTTAAAACTCAGTCCCTTTTCATTGGAAACAAATTTTTTATTATAATGCTTTCCCCTTGTTAGGTTGAACCACGCCAATGTTGTAAAGGCCTGTGACGTTCCTGAGGAATTGAATTTTTTGATTAACGATGTGCCTCTTCTAGCAATGGAATATTGTTCTGGAGGAGATCTCCGGAAGGTAGTGTGGATGTTTTGAGATGATGAGATAGTAAATCACGAACTCTAACAGTATTTGAATCCCACTCAGTACAGTAATCTAGAGTAAGAGTCAGTAAACTATGGCCTTTTTTATCTTTTTGTGGCTGCTTTCTTACAATAGTAGCAGAGTCGAGTAGTGGTGACAGAGATTGCATAACTTGCAGAGCCTAAAGAGCTTACTCTCTGGCCCTTTACAGGTAATGTTTGCTGACTGCTGCTTTAGAACATGAATATTTTTGTTGGTGGTTGTGGTGTTTGCAGGATGGGATGGTTTTAGATCACAATATCAATGTTTAGTGTTAATGTTTCTCTGTTGCAAATCTTTCTTTCCCATCTCATTTTAAATCTACCAGTTGTTGTTGTTTAGTTGCTAAGTCATGCCCAACTCTTTTGTGACCCTATGGGCTGTCCATAGGATTTACCAGACAAGAATACGGAGCAAGTTGCCATTTCCTTCTCCAGGAGGTCTTCCCCATCCAGTAATTGTAATCAAACCCATGGCTCCTGCTGTGCCACCTTGGAAGCTCTTTTTATATATTTAAAGTGGCTATTATTTTAAATATCATATGACTATTTTTATATATTTATCTGTGAGATTTTTCAACCTTATAAAATTTCAAATACCTTCTCCCATTATTTTTACTTGTGTAAATTTTGTCATGAAATTTACATGTCCTCTGTGTGGATTTGGTAATTTTTCCCCCTTATATTTTCTTAATCATGACTAATTTTCTTATTCTCTCAAAGTATAATGGTTAATGTATCAGTATTACTGCCCAGCAATATTGGCAATATACATTTTTAAATTTTTTTTTCCTTTAGCTACTCAACAAACCAGAAAATTGCTGTGGACTTAAAGAAAGCCAGATACTTTCTTTACTGAGTGATATAGGTATGTAATCAGTATGAAAATTCCATCATAATTTAATGCCCATTTGGTCTGTAAGAGTGTATACTGCTTGGAAATTAGAATTATTGATAAACTATACAAAGCATAGGTTTTTAAGTATAAGAAATTTTTTATTTTTAAGAAATTATCAGCAAAAATTAAGTATTACTGTTGATGCTAATTTAAAGCTAGGATATTTTGTTTTTTATTTTTTGTGTTGTCTGTGTCCATTTGACTGATAGATATTCTAGTTGCCAAAAAAAAAAAAAATGGTGTGAAGTGATCTTATTCATTCCTTCCTCCCTGATTAACATAGTAAATTTATTTACCTGGGACATTGCTTCTCACAGGCATATGTATTCTTAGGGTGAAATCTTTTTAATCAGAATTACTCCTGAAAAGTTTCTAAAATAACCAGGACCTAGGCCCTTGGAGAGAGCTCAGAAGGCCAGATTATGTTTCTCTATATATTTTGATCTTGTTTCTTTTCTTAGATGATGGAGGCCAAAGTCTAGTTGAAGAGGGTGAGTTAGATGAGAAGGAAAGGCTCCAATGATAATACAGGGATTTTTTTCAATTGCTTGTTCCATTTCTTTTTAATATTAATTTTCATTAATTAAATGGGAACATATTGTAATTCTGCAGTCTTTGATTAATGTTACCGTATTTTTGTGGAGAAAATTTGAGTGTCTATAAAATCGTTAATCATGTATTTATGATGGTCCATATAAAATTGAGCGTCAGACCAGATCTGTACAAAATGTGAGTTGAATTTTTTTTATTTCAGTGTTTTTTTATTACCTCAAAATACATTTTAAATTTTATTTAGGATCTGGGATCCGATATTTGCATGAAAACAAAATTATACATCGTGATCTAAAACCTGAAAACATAGTTCTTCAGGATGTTGGTGGAAAGGTAGGTAAAACCTGAAGAAATGTTCTGTGCTAATTGAATAGAGTCTCCATGATGTAGTTAGTCTTTGAGGTTTGGTGCCCACCATAGCATTCTGTACTTCTTTATCCCAGCCCTCACTTTTCTGAACTGTGGTATTTTGTCTGTCTCCTCTGCTAACATAATAACTCCATTAGAGAAGGAGCTACATCTGTCTTTTCATTTCATTTTTCCAGCACAGTATCTAGCAGAGCTAGTAGGCAGTAAGTAATTTGTTAATTTGGATGTTATGAAGTACATCCAAAAAATATATCCTTGGTCTTCTTTAAGAAAAAGAAAAAATATGTTTAAAGTATGTTTTCGTGCTTACTTCGGCAGCACATATACTAAAATTGGAACGATACAGAGAAGATTAGCATGGCCTGTGTGCAAGGATGACATGCAAATTTGTGAAGCGTTCCATATTTTTTAATAAAATAATTGGGGGAATAAAAAGAGTTTACTGGAAAAACAAGGTAACATTTCAGATCAGTAAAACCAGAACAACTTGTTCACTCATGGTGTTGAATACTGATTAAAGAATACAAAATGAAAGTTAAAAAAATAATAATAATAAAGTATGTTTTCATATTTAAGAAAAACAAAACAAAGTCATTCTCCGTCCCAAAAGTCCTAACTTTATTTTTAATTAAAATTCAAAACCTTGATTTCTCAGATTCCTGAAGGAGTCATCTTGAGAAGAACTAGAAATTGTGAATTAATTCTTGGGAATATTTATTTTTATCAAAGTAATTTGAGCAGTTTTCTTGCTTTTAGTGCCCAAATTCCATTCCAAAAAGACATAAAGCCAAGAATGTGAACCTTGAATTGGATTGTTTAGCCTTAGGTAGTGAAGATAATGATCAGTTGGAAGTGATGAAACCTTGGTGCTTCTTCTCTTAGGAGCCTTTTGTGTATGCTTTGCACCGACTACTTGCTTTGTGTGTGTATCCTGAGACTTCAGTATGTTCTTGAAGTTAGATAGGTGTTTACTCACATTGATCCACTCTAAGACGGTGTGATGCTTCTTAAAAGTTTGGAAGTCACCCTGCCTGTGCCTTCCAGTTTAATGGATCAAGCTTATTCTGAATATATCAAAATACAAATTAATAGCCAGTCTATATCAGTATATTAAAAAGCAGAGACATTACTTTGACAATAAAGGTCTGTCTAGTCAAAGCTATGGTTTTTCCAATAGTCGTGTATGGATGTGAGAGCTGGACTATAAAGATAACTGAGCATTGAAGAATTGATGCCTTTTGAATGGTGGTGTTGGAGAAGACTCTTGAGAGTCCCTTGGACTGCAAGAAGATCAAACCAGTTAATCTTAAAGGAAATCAGTCCTGAATATTCATTGGAAGGACTGATGCTGTACCTCCAATCCTTTGGCCACCTGATGCAAAGGACTAACTCATTGGAAAAGACTCTGATGCTGGGAAAGATTGAAGGCAGGAGGAGAAGGGAATGACAGGATGAGATGATTGGATGGCATCCCGACTCATCAGACACGAGTCTGAGCAAGCTCCGGGAGTTGGTGATGGACAGGGAAGGCCGATAGCTGTAGTCCATGGGGTCGCAAAGTGTTGGACACAGCTGAGCGACTGAACTGAACTGATTTAGTTTTTTACTATATGTCAGACACTGTTAAATTATTTTCATTACCATTGAATCCTAATAGCAATTCTGTGAATTAGGGATTGTTAGGAATATCATTATATAGGAAACTGAGAGGAATAACTTGAGCAAGGTCACATAACTATTTATCTACGTGGTGGAGCTTAGGCTTGAAACATGTTTGTTCTATTCCAGAGCCATGCTCTTCACCTCCCTCTCCAGAGCATTATAAGGACCTTGTTCCCTTTCCTTTTCAAGTTTCTCAGCCATTTAATACTTACTGTTTTGCAGATTATGCATAAAATAATTGATTTGGGATATGCCAAAGATGTTGATCAAGGAAGTCTTTGTACATCTTTTGTGGGAACTTTGCAGTATCTGGTAAGATACATATTGTTTCTTTGAGTTTAACTGTACAGGATTATTCTTATTTCTTAAGGTTGTGAATGTAATAGTTCAAAACTCTGGTAGCTTTTCTCTTATAGTGTTGATGTTTAAAGCATTTTTTTTTTCTTTTTAAGGCCCCAGAGCTCTTTGAGAATAAGCCTTATACAGCCACTGTTGATTATTGGAGCTTTGGTACCATGGTGTTTGAGTGTATTGCTGGATATAGGCCTTTTTTGCATCATCTGCAGCCATTTACCTGGTAAGAAATGGGAGAGAACTTTGGTATGCTTAATGAGAGTGAAATTTTCAGTACCCCTCTGGCCTCCTTCCTTTAAATAGTATAATTACTTTTTAACACAATTGAATAAAATTAAAAGGCAAAAATGTCTCAGGTTGTCAACTGAAGTAGCTTTTGTTTTCATAGGCATGAGAAGATTAAGAAGAAGGATCCAAAGTGTATATTTGCATGTGAAGAAATGACAGGAGAAGTTCGGTTTAGTAGCCATTTACCTCAACCAAATAGCCTTTGTAGGTATGTATATTTTAGTTGAGGGTGTTTGTTTCATTTTCTTCAGGGATGTAAAAGAACAGTAAAGTTGTTGTCTGCTTCAAGTAGCATTATCCATTGGAACTGTCTGTAATGATAGACATGATTTATATCTATGCTGGCCACATGAGTCTGTCTGAGCACTTGAAAGATGGGTGGTAAGACTGAAGAACTGAATTTCAAATTTTTAAATTTTAATTAACTTAAGTATAAATGGAAATAGCCACTTGTGACTAGTGGCATCCATATGGACAGCACCAGTCTAGTGGAAAGAAGAACTGCCATTCAACTGATTGGCTTAGGTGCTAAGAACACTGAGAATACTGTGATGAATGGGTTCCTTAGGAAATGGAAGTGAATTCACCCGTTGGAGTTGCCTGTAACTAACTTGCACATGTGGATTTGGGATTTTTTTTAATGGAAAAAAGTTTGTCACCTGTCATTTCAGGAATTATTTGGAAGTAAGATATAATATCATAGAAATAATGACAAGATATAGCCATCCTATACAACCACTTTTTTTTTTTTTTTTTACAAAACTAAAAGAAAATTGGAATATAATGATTTTTATCCTATTTTTGTATGTTTTCTAGTTTAATAGTAGAACCCATGGAAAACTGGCTGCAGTTGATGCTAAACTGGGATCCTCAGCAGAGAGGAGGACCTGTTGATCTTACTTTGAAGCAGCCAAGATGTTTTGTATTAATGGATCACATTCTGAATTTGAAGGTTAGTTTGAATGGGGTCTACTTCATAAGACTTACATTGAAGTTAACAAACTTACTGGAGAATGGACATAAACATATTTTAATAGTGCATTTCTATTTCTTTAGTAAGCTTTCTCAGTTTTACTTCTCAGTGGTCTTATTGATCACTCCTTTGAAGTATCTTTTGGATTTTCCCCCTCTCATTGGTACCATTTCACCTCATTCATTTAGATCTAATCATATTGGATTTGGTTTGGTGAGGAAGGTTCCTACCTGGCTTTTTGCCTCTATACTTACTTTCCATCCTACAGTCTGTACAGCATGAACTGCCTGTCTTATTTTTTGAAAATGCTTTTTGATTCTCCAGTCCAAGAAACTAACAGTTTTTTCTTGCCTACCAAATCAAGTCTAAACTGACCTGCTTGGGTTTATGCGGGTTTTCTTCATTTAGGTCCACCTCTTCCAAGTGCTTATTTCATTTCTCTTACCCTTTACTTCGCTTAGGACCAGCTTGTCATTGCACCTTATGCCATCAAGCCCATTATCCATTTTTGTGTTGACAGATGCTGTTCCTCTGCCCAGACTGATATCTATCTTTATGTATCCCCTCACCTGTACCGGCACATATTCAACTCACCTGTTCTCCAAACTGTGTCTACCGCACAATGTGTCGTTTAGCCATTTTTATTATATTCTTTAGTTGTTTCTCATCTTCCTTTCATGCCTCTCCATATAGATTGTCTTCTTTAATGCTGAGATTGTTTTTCTTACTTTTATTAACAGTCATCTATCCTAACACCACACTGTTTCTATGCTGGCATTCTGTACAAAGCTGGACACATACCAGATTCTCAGTAAATATCCATTGATATGAACGAGAGGTTCTATTATGCTGTATACGTAGAAACAACTCATCTGTGATCTTTTCATATTTGTTGATTGCTTGTGGTAGATAGTGTTTCTAAAATGTAAATGAGAAAGTAGTCGTAATGTAAGGTTTTACTCTTACCTTGATATACTTCATTAAATAGGAATTTGAGGCCATGTTGATGTCATTCTTGGCTCACATTGAAAAGACAGCTGGTGTCGTGATTTGGTTTTCTTCTACTGTGCCAGGGAGTAAATCATCCCCCAGCATGTTAGATAAGCAGGACTTGGTGACACCTTTTAGTTCTTTGTTGGTTTCAAAAATTTTTGATTTTTTTCTCATATTTTTCAGTCTTATCATGATAATCATAACATCATTTCTACTTGTAAGGAGTCTGTGGGCATGTGCTTGTTTTACAGAGCATAAGTAAGGAGTCCTCCTTATATGTCTTGTGTTCTGTAGACTTTAGTTCAGTTTGTAGCACTGAACTGTATATCTGTGAATCTAGGCAATATATATATATATATTTATATTTATTTGTAGTTTAGGTACAGTAACATCTTCTTTAAAGGATCAGTATTATTGTGAGGTTTCAGAATAAGGTGTGTATAGGGTACTAGTCATAGTAGTTCAGGGTTGCTTCCCAGGCATAATAATAGGACTGAGTTTTGAAGGATAAGGAAGTGTTAATCTGGGGAATGGGTAGGGGGAAAGATTTGCAAGCAGAGGAATGTCATGAGCACAGAAGCATGAACTACAGAATAAATTGCTATTATTATAGGACATTTTTCTAAGGTGTTTGTTATATTGTTGAAGGAGGGAGTGACATCTGTTTTATTTTTATTTAAAGAAGAAATCAGCATAGCTAGTGGGAAACTGCTGTATAACACAGGGAGCTCAAGAAGTGCTCTGTGACGACCTAGAGGGGTGGGGTGGGAGGGAAACTGAAGAGGGACGGGATATATGTGTACTTACAGCTGATTCACATTGCTATACAGCAGAAACCAACACAACATTGTAAAGCAGTTATCTTCCAGTTAAAAATAAATTTAAAAAGTAAGTTCATCCCATATTTCTGGGGGGAAAAGAAAGAAGAAATCAGTGAAACAATTACTGAATTACTTCCATTCCTTAAGAAAAGTTTGTAGATTCTGATTACATATTTTTCTAAATATTTATTATGAAAAACTTTAAATATGCAGATAATAATTTTGGAAAATGATTGAATCTTGTTTATTGCAGAGATAATGCCCTTAAGTAGCTAGCACTGAATCTTTTATGTAGCAAATGATCAAAGTTATTTCCCTTTTTTCTTATTTAAACAGATAGTACATATACTAAATATGACTTCTGCCAAGATAATTTCTTTTCTGTTACCACCTGATGAAAGTCTTCATTCACTACAGTCTCGTATTGAGCGGGAAACTGGAATAAATACTGGTTCTCAAGAGCTTCTTTCAGAGATGGGAATTTCTCTGGATCCTCGGAAACCGGCCTCTCAGTGTGTTCTAGATGGAGTTGTAAGACAATTCTAATATACCTAGAGTATAAGAAATCTCTTTGCATAGAGGGATTGCATGCCCTGCAGTTTTTATGTCTATTTGGAATCATTTGGGGAGTGGTCCACATCTTATAATTCTTCTTTTAGTTTTATCCTACTCATTATGCTTATTGCTTTGCAAGGTGAAAAGATAGAAATGAAACATTGGTTATTTTAAACTGTATATGACATTCTCTTTGGTGTCACTTCTATCCTTTTTTTTCCCCCTTTTTGTCCTGAAGCCTATAACCTTGAAATTAGACCAACAGTCTCATAGGTCCTGTCAGAGTATGGACGGATGGTAATATATGATTCTGGTCATGACTCATTTCATTTTCCATTTTTAACTTTGTTGAGGCATATTTTATATATCATATAATTTAACCATTTCAAGTGTAAAAGTCAGTTTTTTTTTTTAGCAAACCACCCTAATTGCACAGCCATCATCATAAATCAGTTTTAAAACATTTCCATGTCTTCATGTTCTTTAACTACTAGTATCCATTCTGCCTAGCCCAGAAAATCACTAATTTACTTACTACCTCTATAGATTTGCCTTTTCTGAACATTTCATACAAATGGAATCATATAATCTCTTGTGTCTGATTTCTTTCACTTACCGTTATGTTTTTGAGATTCATTCATGCCATAGCATATATCATTACTTCATTTCTTTTAATTACTGAAAAAATATTCCCATTGTATGTTGCTGTAACTTTTTGCTTTTGTCCTTTTGGGTCTGGTGACTGTTTTTCACTTTAGTCCATACTACAGTTAGTTATTTTTCTTAAATAAAAATTTAGACCTTAAGTCTGTGAGATGCATGCTAATGAACTTGACTTCACTGGTGGCATTTCAAAGTAGGAAATCTGGTGCTTATGTACTTAGAGAACCTAGAATTTTCAAGGATCTTTTCTTAATTTGTTTTTTTTTTCAGAGGGGCTGTGATAGCTATATGGTTTATTTGTTTGATAAAAGTAAGACTGTATATGAAGGACCATTTGCTTCCAGAAGTTTATCTGACTGTGTAAATTATATTGGTAAGTATGGTTCATTTACTGACTGAGCTGCAAACCTGAAGTAATATAATTTTGACACGACATGATTAGAAATGGTTCTTTGGTGTTTCTGTTCTGTATCATACTTCAGGTTTCTATGTGTGCTAAAAGATGGGTTTATATGGTTTGGAAGGTGAAGAGGTAGATTTTAAATCACCACCAAACCCCTCATTTGGCAGGAGACTTTCCTGTGAATATGACTTTCACATGAAAAACTGAATCTTCACTATTAAGCCTACTTTTTAGTTTCTCCTTCACTACTTATGCATGTTCAGATACTTCATTTTATCCTATGAATACTACTTAATGTTCAAATGATTTCATTTTTCCTCAGAGAATTAATGTTTTCTACTAAAGAAGTGAAGTGGTTAATTTCTATCTACCCAAAACTAAAAACAAGCACATTATAAAATCAAGAACAAAATTGGTCACAAGCACTGAAATTATGTGATCTTTTCTTTTCATTAGTTTTTTTTTAAAAAGTTCTAGATTTATAGAAAAATTGAGCAGATAGGACAGAGTTCTTATGTTATTCCCCTACCCATAGTTTCCCCTGTTGTTAACATCTTATGTTATTATGATACTTTGTTACAACTAATGAACCAATATATTGTTATTAACTAAGGTTCATACTTTATTCAGATTTCTTTTAGTTTTTATCTGGTGTCCTTTTTCTGTTCCAGAATCCCATGCAGAATACCATGTTACATTTAGTTGTCATGTCTGCTTAGGTTCTTCTTGGATGTGCTAGTTTTTCAGATTTTCCTTGTTTTTGATGACCTTGAAAGTGCTGATCAAATATGTTGTAGGATGCCCCTCTGTTGCAATTTGCCTGATTTTTTTTCCTCATGATTAAGCTAGGATAATGGGTTTTTGAGAGAAAGATCAAAGAATTCAAATGCCATTTTGAAAACATATATAAAGGGTACATACTATCAACATGATTAATGACTGTTGGTGTTACCTTGCTTACATGGCTGAAGTAGTCAGCTTTCTTTACTGTAAAGTTTAGTCTTACCCTCTCCTCCTTTTGATACTGTGTGGAAGGAAATCACTATGCAAGAATCCACACTTAAGGAGTAGGAGTTATATGCCTCCTCCTTTAGGGTAGAATATCTGTATAATTTATTGAAAATGCTTCTGCTTACATGAATTATCTCTTCTCTCCCATTTGTTAATTTATTTAATCATTTATGATATAAATTTGAGTTCATGGATATTTATTTTATATTATAGATTATAATCCAATACTAGTTTATTTTGTTATTCATATTGTTGCAGCTTACCTGAGAAGCTCTTTCAGTTGACTTCCTATGCCTCTTCTTCTTGACCCATCAGTGAGGGTGTTTTTGTTTTTGCTTTTGTTTTTTTAAACATTTCCTTACTTTCTGGTACCATGTATTCCAGGCCCATCTTTTAAATTTTCTACCATAGTCCTAGAATTGGCCATTTCTCCAAGGATCCCTGGTTCCTTTGATTGAGAACAGCATTAGAAATCAAAATTGGGATACTTGGTATGCTTCTTGCTATTGGGGTATCATTTCTGGTCACTTTCAGACTTTTATTTTTTATGTATATAATTTTTTTCTGGACTCTCTCCCCAGACTATTTTTTTTAAGTGTGTGAGTTTTTATTTTGTTTTGTTTGTTTGGTCTATCAGAGGAAGCCTCAGGATTAAGTGTGGGTATATAAAAATAGAAGAAAAGTTAGTTGAGGCTATTTATCATTATTAGGGGAGGCAAAGATTTTTTCCAGATATACAGCTTTATTTGTTTGACATCTGTTTCAGATAATGTGTTTTCTCGATGTGAAATCTAGTGTAGCACCCTTTCTCTGAAGATTTTCATTGGAAAAGAATAACAGAATATAATCACCACCTTAAAGTATGAGATGAATCTCTCTTCAATCTTGGAGAATTATATAATGTTAAAATGAAATTTCATTGAACTTAATATCTACCTGCCATTGTTTTAGAAAGAAGCATCCCCTTTACCAAAGAAAAGACAAGAGATTATCATAAATAGATAATTTCATAAGTCTTACATTGAGAAAGGCATATCTTATTAAAATACTATTTACCCAGTGTGTTTTTCTAAAGCTGAGTTGGTAGTCCAAGAGATGAAATTTGTTATTCAGAAGCAAAAAAAAGACTATAGCAGATTGTGGAGTACTTGGGACTTAGTTTAGAACTTCAAAGGAATAAAGAATTTGGATTATTGAAGAGGAAAAAAAAAAAGATCCCAGATTGGAGAGAAACAAGGAAGAAAAAGACAGATACAGGAATAATTGTAAGCTTTGTGATTATGTAGTTAATTATGTCTTCATTTTTATTTCCCCTTGTATATGGAGCAGGGCTCAAGTACATGTGCAGGTGTTCAATAAATTTACACTGACTGAATGGACCTATAACAAATGGTTCTTCCTAGCATCTGGTTTCTAGCATCTATAGGAATGCTATTTGTATGGACAGAAAATCACAAAGAATAACAAATGAACTCTAGAATCTTAAAAAGTAATTCCCCTTTCCTTTCCCTCATCTTCTTACACATAGTACAGGACAGCAAAATACAGCTTCCAATTATCCAGCTGCGTAAAGTATGGGCTGAAGCAGTACACTATGTATCTGGGCTGAAAGAAGACTACAGCAGGCTCTTTCAGGGACAGAGAGCAGCCATGTAAGTGAATTCTCTTGTTTATAGGCACAGTGTCATGTGCATTCATGCTCAAGAATTAAATTTTGCTACTTTTCACTAGTCAATATCCCATGCAAAAATATATTACCTGGCCAATTTGCAATGTAATATTCTGATCAGGCATGTAGAATTCTTATTAACTGTCTGAAACCATCCAGTTGCAATAGACAGTAGTTTCTGAATGGTCCTAGTATAAGAAGATTGTTTTATCATAGCGTATCACAAGCAGAAATTCTTTAGAGATCAGATTCTAGAGATCAGCTCTTTCTCATAGATTGATAATAGAAACATAGGCTTTAGGCTTATGGCAGTTTGAGTTTTTAAACTTTTGTCCAGTGTTTCTAAAATGCTTATATCTTGTTTTTCTTGCTGTGGTTTAGGTTAAGTCTTCTTAGATATAATACTAACTTGACAAAAATGAAGAATACTTTGATCTCAGCATCTCAGCAACTGAAAGCTAAATTGGAGTTTTTTCACAAAAGCATTCAGCTTGACTTGGAAAGATATAGTGAGCAGATGACTTACGGGATATGTAAGTGTTGGATAATGTATTTGAAACAAGTGTCTTGTCTCTTGAAGCCATCTGCTATGTTACCTTCTTACCTGTTAGCCAGTTGTTTCACTTGCATTCATATTAGAACAAAAGATAGGACATCTCATATCATTGTAAACTGTATTTGGTTTGAATATTAGTTTGTTATTTTTTAATCTTTAGTTGAGCGGCTTTACTCTGCCCACCCCTCACCCCCACAATTGGACTAAATTATTCACCTTTAGAAAAATGCAAAATGATTTAAGAATTTGATTGTCAAACCTCATTTAAAAAATAGATAGAAAAAAAAAAGATACAAAAAAAATAAATTAAAAAAAAAATAAAAAATAGATACAAAGTCTATATTAGGGTGACTTCTTAGCCTGGGAAGTCTTAAATTACTTATCTTTCTATAAATAATAATATAAGCAATTCCAGGTTGTTTTTTTTTAAATTTCTAAACAACCTATTGTGGAGTCCCACTGTTTTTTATTGTACATAGCCTCCAATTTTTTGGTATTTAATTCTGAGCTTATCTCCCTTCAGATGTACTAAGGAAATGTAAAAAGTAGAGTTAAAATTCAAATAATAAACCAAAAGAGTTGCCTTCAGCATTTCTGTTTGTATACTTATCTTGAGCAAGGTGTGTGTATTTCAGAATTAAATGATCAACAGTGTCCAGCTGGGTAAATAAGTTTTCTCACCAAAGCTGGTTCTATGATTGATGTTTTATTTCTGTTTCTGTATTATAGGCATTCTGATGAATGGCAAAACATAGTTATTTCATCAGATTATCTTTGACTTATCTTGTTAAATTGTATATCTTAGAAAGTGAAGTTGCTGTCGTGCCCGACTCTTTGCGACCCCATGGACTGTAGCACACCAGGCTCCTCTGTCCATGGGATTCTCCAGGCAAGAGTACTGGAGTGGGTTGCCATTTCCTTACACTACTGTTTAAAAAGAATGAGGTAGACCTATGTGTGCTGATATTAAAAAATCAGTTGATCTTTAAGGCAGCAATGTTTTAAGTTGGAGAAAGAAACAAGGAAGGAAAAGTATATATAGATGAGTCTCTTTATGAGAGAAAAGGAGATGTGTCTCTGTATGAAATGATTAACGCTGGGATCGCAGAAGGTGGAGAGTGAAGGGGAGGAGACTTTTTATATCCCTATATAGTGTTTGATTTTTTAAAAATATCATGTTCGTGTATTACTTTAAAATTTTTTTCTTTTTTTTTAAAGAGAGAGTCATCTGTATTAGTTTCCCAGGGTTGCCATAACAAATTGCTATGAACTGGATGGCTTAAAACAATAGAACTTTATTATCTCACAGTTTCAGAGGCTTAAAGTCCAAAATTGATGTGTTGTCAGGGCCTTGCTCTCTCTGAAACCTGTGGAGAAGAATACTTCCTTAGATTCTTCTGGTACTTTGCCAGCAATCCTTGGCATTCCTTGGCTTGCAGCTGTAGCACTTTAGTCTCTGCCTCTGTTGTGAAATGGAGCTTTACTGTTCATATGTCTGTTGCTGTGTTTCTTCTTCTTTTTTTTTTTTTTTTCCTTTTCTTAAAAGGACACTAGTCATACCTAGATTAAGACTCAAACCTTAATTTAGCTAATTGCACCTGACACTATTTCCAAATAAGGTCAAATTCTGAAGTACAGAGTGAGGGCTTCACCATCTTTTGCGGGAACAATTCAACTCATAACTCTGTTTTGATGTTGATATGGCAAGGAGATGGGTAGGTCAGTAATTAAACCTATGGCTATTTCTGAGATAACCAACTAAGACTTTTTTTTTAGCCTCAGAAAAAATGTTAAAAGCATGGAAAGAAATGGAAGAAAAGGCTATCCACTATGCTGAGGTAAAATCACTGAGCTCATTCTGTGTGCTTATTAACTCCTGAGGACTCCCTTAGAAATTCTTTGGTTTTGGTCTGTAGAGTATTTCTCATATCATTCCTGAATATCAGACAGATATCTAGTATGTATATTTAGAGGGAAGTACCACAGTGGATAAAAACAAGAGCTTTGGGTAAATGAGACTAAAATGAAGCCTCACTATGCTTCAGTTTCCATATTATATTATGGGGACTCTACCTTTTTTAGTGGGGTTATACAGATTTAAGTGGGAGTGACTAATAAATGGTAGTTATCACTGTTATTTTTAAGACTGGTTTTGATAGGATGGCTGGACATCCTGGTTTACCCAGCACAGTTTCAGTTTACCTCTCTTGCCTTAATTATCAGTTAGTTAAGTTAGTTAAGTGAAAAATGCTCTGTCGTGTCCAACTCTTTGTGACCCCTGGGCTATACAGTCCATGGACTTCTCCAGGCCAGAATACTGGAGTGGGTAGCCTTTCCCTTCTCCAGGGGATCTTCCCAACCCAGGAATCGAACCCAGCTCTCCCACATTGCAGGAGGATTCTCTACCAGCTGAGTCACAAGGGAAGTCCAACAATACTGGAGTGGGTAACCTATCCCTTCTCCAAGGGATTTTCCCGACCCAGGAATTGAACCAGGGTCTTCTGCATTGCAGGTGTATTCTTTACCAACTGAGCTATCAGGGAAGCCCTTATTATCAATAATACTCTCAAAATTATGCTGGTTTGGACAATATATTTTTTATGGTCACACTCTAGGTGGCAGATTCCTTCTTTACCTGGTACATCTGTCTGTGGTCTCATTAAATTGTTGCTCTCCTTGATGGCAGCACTACCTGAGGAATGAGTGTGGCAGTTGGTATCCTGGGTTGGGAAATCCAGTGTTTATCTTTCTCATCCTTATTCAAGTTGGGAACAAGAGATACTGAAAATCGTAGAACCGAGATGCAGTGGTATCGGTGGTCACTTTTACTTATTAGTGACACTTCTGTCTTTTTCCTTCTCAGGAGGAGAAAGAAAATGCTAGTAGTCTACTATTGTCAGGAGAGAAGCCTGAAATAATTTGGTTCTCATGTGAAAGTTTCATGTCATAATCTGAGAGACAAAAAAGCTTGAACAAAATCAGTGTTTTACATTAAATCACTTTGTTCTCTTACTGTAAGAAGTCATTCTCTGAGTTCCTCATATTGTGTGGTGGTGAGCCTGTCATTTCTTTTGTGTTTCATCATATTTTAGGTGGGTGTTATTGGATACCTGGAGGATCAGATCATGTCCCTGCACACTGAAATCATGGAGCTACAGAAGAGCCCCTACGGACGACGTCAGGGAGACTTGATGGAATCTCTGTAAGGGTGAAGTCATGTTGTTAGTGTTGGTGTCTGTAATTTTGGGTAGCAGATTCTTCTTTCATTGTATTTCTGGAAGATTAAATGTGGTTCTTTTATATAGTTTTTCTTTCCACAAATACATTGGCATCATAGTTAAAAAGGAAGTTCTTTCCTAATCACAGGAAATTTTGGCAATAACTCTTTGGGTTGACGTTTGCTATTTATTTATTTTTTAAAAACTTTTAATTTTATATTGGGGTTACATTATAGTTGATTAACAATGTTGTGATAGTTTCAAGTGTATAGCGAAGGGACTCAGCCACATATATATACACCTGTTCGTTTTCAAATTCTTTTCCATGACCTTTGCTTTTTAAATCGAAGCATCTTTTCATGTGAGTGTTAATAATTTTTCAAGTATTTTAAGTTGCAAACTATTTCCCTACTTACCACACTTCTGGTTTAAGGAAGGTATTATTTACTAAATTCCCTAAATAAGGTTAACTTCCTAAGTGTTTGGATTAGAAACTTCAGATTTTTTTTCTTTAATCACAGGACATAATGGTGCAGAGATGCTATATAAGTGATGGTAGATCAGAGCAGATATTTGGTATATTAAACTTTGCATCTTAAGATCTTGCTTATTACCCAGTGAAACACCCTGTAAAATATTCATTGGCAATATGTAATTACTTGAAAATGGGGTCATTACTCTATTCAAATAATCTTGTTCATTTCAGGTTGGAAATTATTAAAGTCATTAAACTATCTTCACATTTAGAAACATGTTTTCTCTTTCGTAGGGAACAGCGTGCAATTGATCTATATAAACAGTTAAAGCACAGACCTTCAGGTAAGACACTTTCACAGTACACAAAGGCATTTTAGGAAACCATCACTAGCTTAACAAATCTGTGAAACAGGATTTTAAGCAAGCTGCAGAATAAATTCCAGTTTTGATATTGCCATTGAGATGTTTAGGGGCTTACCTCCTGGCTCAGTTGGTAAAGAATGTGCCTGCAATGCAGGAGACCTGGGTTCAGTCCCTGGGTCACAAAGTTCCCCTGGAGAAGGGAATGGCAAACTACTCTAGTATTCTTGCCTGGAGAATTCCATGGACAGAGGAGCCTGGCAGGCTATAGTTCATGGGGTGGCAAAGAGTCGGACATGATTGAGCGACTAACACTTCAACTTCACATTGAGATGTTTATGGTACAACAGCATTTAAGTCTGTGAGAATTTAAGAAATTAGGAAGGCACAGTAATAATGTTTGAAATAGACAAAAAATTTTTTAATATATTTATTTCTAATTGAAGGATAATTGCTTTACAGTATTACATTGGTTTCTACCAGACATTAACATGAAACAGCCATAGGCTTACCCGTGTCCCCTCCCCCTTGAACATCCCTCCCACCTCCCTCCCCATCTCACCCCTCTAGGTTGTTACTGAGCTCTGGTTTGAGTTCCTGAGTCATACAGCAAATTCCCATTGGTTATCTATTTTACATATGATAATGTATGTTTCCATGTTACTGTCTCCATACCTCCCACCCACTCCTTCTCCACACCAACCCCCCACCCTAGCCATGTCCATAAGTCTGTTCATAATGTCTGTGTCTCCATTGCTGCTTTGCAAATAGGTTTTTCAGTACCATCTTTCTAGATTCTGTATATATGTGTTCAGTTCAGTTCAGTCGCTCAGTCGTGTCCGACTCTTTCTGACCCCATGGACTGCAGCACGCCAGGCCTCCTTGTCCATCACCAACACCTGGAGTTTACTCAAACTCATGTCCATTGAGTTAGTGATGCCATCCAACCATCTCGTACTCTGTCGTCCCCTTCTCCTCCTGCCCTCAACCTTTCCTAGCATCAGAGTCTTTTCCAATGAGTCAGTTCTTCACATCAGATGGCCGAAGTATTAGAGTTTCAGCTTCAGCATCAGTCCTTCCAATGAATATTCGGGACCGATTTCCTTTAGGATGAACTGGTTGGATCTCCTTGCAGTCCAAGGGACTCTCAAGAGTCTTCTCCAACACCATAGTTCAAAAGCATCAATTCTTCGGTGCTCAGCCTTCTTTATAGTCCAACTCTCACATCCATACATGACTAGTGGAAAAACCATAGCTTTGACTAGATAGACCTTTGTTGACAATGTAATGTCTCTGCTTTTTAATAGGCTGTCTAGGTTGGTCGTAACTTTTCTTCCAGGGAGCAAGCATCTTTTAATATCATGGCTGCAGTCACCATCTGTAGTGATTTTGGAGCCCCCCAAAATAAAGTCTGTCACTATTTCCATTGTTTCCCCATCTATTTGCCACAAAGTGATGGGACCAGATGCCATGATCTTAGTTTTCTGAATGTTGAGTTTTAAGCCAACTTTTTCCCTCTCCTCTTTCACTTTCATCAAGAGGCTCTTTAATTCTTCTTTGCTTTCTGCCATAAGGGTGGTGTCATCTGCACATCTGAGGTTATTGATATTTCTCCTGGCAATCTTGATTCTGGCTTATGCTTCATCCAGCCCAGCATTTCTCATGATGTACTCTGCACATAAGTTAAATAAGTAGGGTGACAATATACAGCCTTAATGTACTCCTTTCCCGATTTGGAACCAGTCTGTTGTTCTATGTACAGTTCTAACTGTTGCATCTTGACCTGCATACAGATTTCTCAAGAGGCAGGTCAGGTGGTCTAGTATTGCCATCTCTTGAAGAATTTTCCATAGTTTGTTGTGATCCACACAGTCAAAGGCTTTAGCATAGTCAGTAAAGCAGAAGTAGATATATGTGTTAGTGTATGATAATTGTTTTTTTCTTTCTGACTTAATTCACTCTGTATAATGGGCTCTAGGTTCATCTACCTCATTGGGACTGACTCAAATGTGTTCCTTTTTATAGCTGAGTAATATTCCATTGTATATATATACCACAGCTTCTTCATCCATTTATCTGTCAATGGACGTTGGGTTGCTTCCATGTCCTAGCTATTATACAGCTACAGTGAACATGGGTTACATTTGTCTTTTTCAATTTTGATTTCCTCAGGGTACATGCCTAGTAGTGGTATTGCTGGGTCATATGGTGGTTTTATGGAGAAGGCAATGGCACCGCACTCCAGTACTTTTGCCTGGAAAATCCCATGGATGGAGGAGCCTGGTAGGCTGTAGTCCATGGAGTCGCTAAGAGTCGGACATGACTGAGTGACTTCCCTTTCACTTTTCACTTTAATGCATTGGAGAAGGAAATGGCAACCCACTCCAGTGTTCTTGCCTGGAGAATCCCAGGGACGGGAGAGCCTGGTGGGCTTCCGTCTGTGGGGTCGCACAGAGTCGGAAACAACTGAAGCGACTTAGCAGCAGCAGCAGCATGGTGGTTTTATTCCTAGTTTGATAAAGAATCTCCATACTGTTCTCCATAGTGGCTGTATCAATTTGCATTCCCACCAGCAGTGCAAGGGAGTTCCCTTTTCTCCTTACCCTGTCTAGCATTTATTGTTTGTCAATTTTTTGATGGTGGCCATTCTGACTAGTGTGAGGTGATATCTCATTGAAGTTTAGATTTGCATTTCTCTAATAATGAGCGATGTTGAGCATCTTTTCATGTGTTTATTAGCCATCTGTATGTCTTTTTTGGAGAAATGTCTTTTTTGGAGAAATGTCTTTTTTGGAGAAATGTCTCTGTAGGTCTTTTGCCCATTTTTTTATTAGGTTGTTTGTTTTTCTAGTATTGACTTGTATGAGCTGCTTACATATTTTTGAAATTAGTCCTTTGTCAGTTGTTTCATTTGCTATTACTTTTTCCCATTCTGAGGGTTGTCTTTTCACCTTGTTTATAGTTTCATCTTGTTTATGTTTATAGCTTATAGCTTATGTTTTTGCTATGCAAAAACTTTTAAGTTTAATTAGGTCCCACTTGTTTATTTTGAAATAGAGAAAATTTTAAAGGGAAGTGAAAGGAAGGAATGAAAGAGATAAAAGGAACTCGGAATAAGGGAAAGAGGAAGCAAGAAAATGTGTGGAAGATGTAAAAAAAAAAAATGCTGCTTAAAATTAAAGAGACTGGGGGGACTTCCCTGGTGGCCCAGTGGCTGGGACTCTGTGCTCCCAAAGCAGGGGGCCCCGGGTTCAATCCCTGGTCGGGAAACTAGATCCCACATGCTGCAATTAAGATCTGGTGCAGCCAAAAAAAAAGAGAGATTGGGAAGAATTTGAGGCTGTGGATTCAGGCGTGGAATGGTCAGAAGGATGCCCATATGCTAGACCAAAACAGTGTACTTTGAAAATGATACCTTCCTCTGCACCTGGTTACTGGTTGCTTACTTCATTGACAAAACTGTTCATTTCTGTTGAACATCTGCTGAATACAGAGCATGTTCTGATGGAAAGTACACTGGATTGAGAATTGCATGCATGTTCAGTTGTGTCCAGGGCTTCCCTGGTGGCTCAAAGGTTAAAACGTCTGCCTGCAATGCGGGAGACCCAGGTTTGATCCCTGGGTCAGGAAGATCCCCTGGAGAAGGAAATGGCAACCCACTCCAGTATTCTTGCCTGGAGAATCCCATGGACGGAGGAGCCTGGTGGGCTATAGTCCACAGGGTCGCAAAGAGTCGGACACAAGTGAGCGACTTAACTTCAGTTGTGTCCAACTCTTTTTGACCCCACAGACTGTAGCCCACCGTGCTCCTTTGTTCATGGGGTTTTTCCAGAATGAATACTGGACTGGGTTGCCATTTCCTCCTCCAGGGAATCTTCCAACCCAGGGATTGAACCCATGTCTCCTAAGTCTCCTGCATTACTGGAGAATTCTTTACAGCTCAGCCACCAGGAAAGCACTTGGATTAAGAATTAGAAGGCTTTAATTGTAAATTAGGCACTTTATTGAGCAAGTAACTTTTTTTCCTGGTATCTCATTTCCCTCTTCTGCAAAATGGAGTAGGAATCTAACTTTCCTAAGTCAGTGACTATACATGGCATTATATTTGACAGGATGTTGGTGAAAGTGCCTGAAAACTATAGAGTATTATGTATGCGCAAGATATTATCCTTCAGTTAAAAACTGATCTGTTTTGAAGGGTTAGGGAAGAACTAAAAGGTGAAGTCTGTGCCCTGATCTGTTATATACTAAAATTGTAAACAAACAAAACCGTAACTTTTACACCTTAAAATTTACAAACACATGCAAATATTAAATAGTATGTAACAAATAACAAAATCTCCTCTACATTGGTTTTAACTGTAGTGGAATTTGTTCAGTTAATTTCTACAAACACGTATGAGATATGTATACAGTAGGCATCTAACCCTGATTGGGAGTCATGGTTGGTTAGAGGAGGTTTCCTGCAGGAGACGACATCTGAGATGAGCCTTAAAGGATAAGTAGCTGTAGCTTGGTGAAAGAAGGTAGACTTTTATATGTGCAAGTATAATAGAGAAAGACACGCACATGTAGCAGTTAGCATGTTTGAGGAAATGTATTGTGATTATAGAGTTTATAGAAGGATTGGATTTTTTTTATATTTATATTGGATTTATATTTTTATATTGGATATGTATATTGGTTTATATTGGATTATAGAGTTTCAGAAGGAGAAATGTGACTGGATCACAAAGAATCTGGCATGTCATAGTAACAGTTTTGGATTTCATCATGATGGCAAAGAGAAACCCTAAAAAGATAGAATCAGGAGAATGGCATGATCAGATTAGCATTTTAGAAATACTGCATTGGTAGCATTGTGGATAATGGATTAAAGTGTGGCTAGGTTAGAGACATTCATCAGTTATGAGGTTGTTGAGTAATTGTGGCACAGGATAAGGTAGGACATGAACTAAAGCAGGGAGCCTGAACTGTGGCAA